ACTCCTTTAATCATAGACCATTTATCGAGTATTTAAATGTCTTAATACTGTTAGAATTTTTTGATCTTGGGCTCGCTGGATTCGTCTTGTCGGGCCACTCAATTCAACTATAATTATGACACATTCAGAGATCATTTAGTCATCCAATTATGGTTTGAACCTTTTAAATGTGCTTTAGGTACTTGATTTGGACCCATTTGGGCTCAAATTGGGTCGAATTTGGTGTTGTTGGGTTCTTCTTTTTGAAACGTTAGTTTGACGATAAGTTTGTTGAAATGTGAGTTCAGATGATCCCAAATTTAATTTTGAAGTTTCCAATTCAAAATTGCGTCGAGATTCATGCCTGATCATAAAAAATAATTTTATGATGTATCAATAACTATAATTCATCATATAATTATATACAAGAAAATAAAATTGTGAAATAGTAATCAAAATTGTTTCATAATTATTAATTATACTTGGAATATATAATTAAATATTATTAGTATTATACATCACCATCACTACAGGAAAACACGGGATTACCAGCGGATTAAATCCGCCGATAATATGTGAAATCCGACGGTAATTAGTGTTTTCGGGGCCTGTTTCGGCGGAAATTCCTGCGCCGGTTTGGTGCGCGTCGATAAATATCTTCTGACGTCTATAATGCGCCGGAAATGGTTCCGGCGCATGGTTCCGGCGCATTATCGGCGCAAAAAACTCTGTGCAGCCGGTGACTTTCGACCGGTAAATTCCGGCGCTTACTGCGCCGGAGCTTTGCGTCACATGAGTTCGCCGGTAATTACCGAGGGATAAAGCGTCGTTGGTGCGCCGTAAATAACCTACGGTTGATTTACTGTGCACAAACATACGCTGGTAATCCCCGGCGGAAAATACGCTGCAGAATGCGCAGGTAACTTCCGGCGCACACAAAACGTCGGATAGATCGATCTAATTCGTTGTATCGTCGTTTCCTATCGTCGTTTCCGTCGCGTTACCGGCGCAAAATCCGCCGGAAACCTAATAGATGTAAAAAGACATTAAGACAATTATGATGATAAGAATTGAATTTATTTAGAAAGATATTAATAGAGAATCAACTTGAGCTAGCCAACAACTTGAGATCACTCACAATGCTTAAAAATCTTCTAAGATTTAGATCTAAATTGATCCTCAATACTAGGGGGCTATTTAATTGGTAGCACCTATGATTTGATTTAAGTAGGATTTCATAAATCATTTAAATTCGGATTTCGAAAATCCTGAAGGGTCTAAATCATAAAAAAACTAGTTGGAAACATTCATAATAAATCTTAAACCATAATATGTGACTTTTTTACTATAGAGTGGATTTAACAAGTGGGTTTTTCTTTTGGAGTCAATGGATTTTGTAAATCCCACAAAAACACGATTTCGGAAATCCGTGATATAGCATGAAAAGGCGGAATTTTTCGTCTATGGCAGCTTTCATTTGCCGTGAGATTTGGTTTTGCATTTTAGGCCGTTTGGCTGGATTTCTCTCAATACAGCCTAAATCTTGATGCTAAACCCTAAACCCCCCACTAGATATCACATTTAAAATTACATTGCTAGGAGATCTTTAATTTCCTATGAATCATAATATCTATTAATTCCATTAATTTTCCTGTAAGGGAACCTATATTCCAAGTTCCTATCCTAATTTTAGTTTCATGGACTAGCTTCTTTGCCCATATCCGTCCTTGATGTGGGAACCCTTGCCTATTTAACACTGCACCCGGGCGCCGGTGCAGCGGCCCTTGCACACTTGTCACTGTATTCAGGCCATACAGCGCGTCGCTTCCAGGGGACGCCCTAGTAAGAACATCCATGGCTAAAGCAAAAAAAATATATTCTTAAACCTAATCATCTATGTAATCCAACTGAAATATGAAAAAAATTTGTCAAAAGAAACGAAAAAAAAAACCTTCCGTCCGAAGATGAACGACCGTCGGCACGTGACCAGGAAAGATAGGATCCTCGGCGAAGTCCGGTGACCGTCGGCGACGTCGATCCACGGCGAGCGACGGAGGGCGACGAGACAGGCGAGGTGAGAGAACGGAAGGAAACAAATGTGCGACCAGAGGGGCTCGGTCTCGAAAAATAGGGCTCTAACCAGCGGATTTTCCGGCGTCCCATCCGCCATAAACATCTCCGGCGCACCATGCGCCGATTTTATTTCGTTGAGTTTAAATACACCCTGGAATATCCGCCGGTAATTGCGCCGGTGCTTTTCCGCCGTAACGTGCGACGGAATTGGTTCAATGTTTGTTTATGCCGGCGCATTTATGTTGCGCCGGAAAATGCGCCGTAGATTTTCCGTCGCAATAATGCGCCGTTACCTGCGCCGTTCGTACCGGCGCATAATATTCCGCCGGAAAATCCGACGGTAATCGCGTGTTTTCCCGTAGTGTATGCCTTATGAAAATTTATACCGGAACTTAATTCGTTATGACTCTCCCGAAAGAGAGGAGGCTGGTATCCCACAAAAGTATTAGTGAGACTTATTGGGAAATATTTTCACATTGGTGGTTCATGTCTGTTATATACTTCATATTGTTAATTTATTAGATGCTTATTGTTTCGGAAAAAGCTTTGATTTACAACTGTGCATGGACAAAGCTTTGATTTACAGTTGAGCAGTGACTTTCGCTAAAACTAGATTATAAAAACATTCACACTTCGGTGTATGGAACATTGAACTGTAAACAAGTTTTTGTAAGCAATTACAGATACTAAGTTAAAAAAACCATTTTTTCTTATCATAATTGCAGGTAGTTAATGACCTTATCGCAGCCTATAACATCATTGAATCCAGAGACAATCAAGGGAACACATCACTACATGTTGCTGCATTTCGAGGGCATCTACCAATTGTTGAAGCCTTGCTATCTGCATCTCCATCATTATCTTATTTCAAAAACAATTCTGGCGATACTTTCCTACACATGGCAATAGCAGGCTTTAGAACTCCTGGTTTCCGAAGGCTAGATCGTCAAATGGAACTTATGAAGCATCTGATCTATGGCAACATTATTAACATCCAGGCAATCATCAACATTCAAAATAATGATGGCAGAACCGCACTCCACGTTGCAGTGATTGGCAACTTGCAGTGTAACCTCGTTGAGGTCCTTATGACCATCCCATCGATTAAACTGAACATTCAAGACATCGATGGCATGACACCACTTGATCTGCTCTGCCGCCGTCCTCATTCTGCATCTTCAGATATACTTGTCAAACTGTTGGTCTCAGCTGGTGGGATATCTCATTTAAAGGATTTGAAGGCTAAAGCAGCGATTGTTACTCAGGTGAAGATGCAATCTGGCATTGGAAACAGCCCAGGTACCTCCTTCAGGATCTCTGATGGTGAAATATTCCTATATACTGGCATTGAGGCATCGGAAGCCAGTGGGAGGCCAAGCTCAAGCTCCAGTATAGGAAAGAATGAGCTCCAGCTGCCTCACTTTGAACCTATTGAAGAGAATAACGAGCATTCAGATAAAAAGAAAGCTTCAAGTTCTGTCAATAGCGCAGCGAGGCGGCTCAAGATACTGCTCAGATGGCCTCGTCGCAAGGAGAAGAAAACTGATGATGATTCCATGACCTTACTGAAGAAATGGAGCGAGCGCGAGGAAACACCGACACCTCTGCGTCAGAGATTTTTGAAGCCGCAATCATCTCTTATAAACAACAAGCGAACACTCGCAGTGAGGACCTCCATGCCGAGCCCCACAACAAAGAAGAAATTTGCTGCTGGGCTTATGCACGGTGTAATTCAGGCCATGCCACACCTAGCTCCTTCACAAACACGGATGCCATTAAGCTCCTTATCTAGTTCTCTTTTGTCATCGCCGACGTTAGAGAAGCAGAAGGGTGTTTATGAAGACGATGAGGCAACCGGCGACACCGCCTGTTCAAATTACACAGGGAGTTCATCGCACAGATCAAGTTTCAAGAATGCAAAGCTCATGAACCAGTACTTCTGCTTCGGAGCGCAGGGCTTGGCATTGGATGGCTCGTCAACCAATCAACGGCAAAGTCGATTGTTCAGAGGATGTGTTCCTCCAGTATCTTGAAAAAGGAAACTGATGGCATGGAAGAAAGCAGGTGATAATGCTCCTTTGAGTGCATATTAGTCTGTTTTTTTTAAACTTAGTAGCCTATTATAAGTTTGCTCCATATAGAGTAATCTTTCAGAATGAGTGTGTTTGTGGTAAGTTCTGTTTACAGTGGGAGTTATGCTTCTATCTTAACTAGTTCTAGCTTGTGATAACCTTTTACTGTTTATAGTATGTATTTTATTTCTAGAATCAGACTAAGGGTTCGTTTGGGATGGCTTTCTTACTGTTTCTTAAAGTAGCTTTTTAGTATAAAATTTTTAATTTTTGTACTAGAAAGCTGCTTTAAGAAACAATGGAAAAGCCGTCCCAAACAAAGCCTAAGAGTGTGATATGAGGAATGATGTCTTGGTTTGTACTTTGTATCAAATTGGGAGTGTTGCAAGAAATGCTTTTTGAATATGAATCTAGATTTTCACCTTTCATTTCACCTAATTTCCTTTTTATTATGAGAACGAGCGCATCGATCGTTCTCCCTTTGTCTCCTAACTTTCAATGTTTCTTGGCGTTATTTGTTCAATTCGTCCAATATCTAGTAATTATTGATATCTAACATTCTCCAACATCGACATCTAACACCAACCTTTTAGGTTCTTTGATCTCACCCTTCTTGTCTAGAGAACAATCAAATTGATCAATTATCATTGTTGGACTTACAATATCTCTTGCTTGCTATTGTTTGACACTGTCACCTAAGGTTTATCATACACTATCGACTTTGATGCCTCTACACTCCAACCGCCATAGGAAAAATTTTACATTTTTTTTAGGTATTGCATTACATAGCATCTTCTCTAGTTGTTGAAAAGAGTGATAATTTTTTATTTAACTTATACTACCAAAATTATTTTAATTTGAGTAGGCCTTGTATTTTTTGTTTTTAGATTTACTTATGTATAAATCTTGTGTCTTCAATGCAATTATTTCAACTCATATGTATATATGTGGGACTATCACATAACTCTAAGGCTCAACTACTGTTAATGGCATACAACATTGGAGCGTGTTTTTTTTTTTGGGATAAAACTCACAAATGAGCCTACGCGTTAAAAATAATAAAATAGATACAAGTCTTACCAAGAACAAAAGCCAAAAAAATACAATACAAAAAATAGCAAAAAGAAAAGCTGTGGAAAAGGCAAAAGTCAGTTAGGCTCAATCATTGATAAGAATTTTTTTTACCACCACCCAGAAGTTGGATAAGGACCATCAAGAGGAAGCAAGCAATTGCCCATAGATAAGAAATGGTCAAAGCTTAATCTGATGTCCCAAAAAGACCACCAAATATAACAAGAAAAAGCACCACCAATGGCTGCCAAGAAGCCACAACATCCAGTTGATGAATAAAAAAACCTCCACATCACTGGACGGTCAATCCATCCAATCCGTGAATGCCAAACCTCCACATCAATTGCCCGGTCCTCAATCCGTGAACGCTAAACCAACAAACTCCCCAAAACAATCCATCCAATAAAACCAAGAGCAGCACCAACACTAATCATCTAAATAAATCGCCCCCAACCAAGAATACTCCAACAGCAAAAAGAAAGATATACCCAAACATAAAAAAATCATTTTTTTTATTTCCGTTTTCTATGCTTACCACTCTTTTTAAAAAAATCAACGTCAGCAATTTGAATAATATTTAATTCAAAATTATCTCAAGACTCCAATTCTTTCTCATTCATTTCCTCCCCACCAGCCAAGGAAATACCATCATCAAACTAGTCATTATTCAACACCTCCTTATCCCTTAATTTGCAAGCAAGTTGAGCTAACAAAGCATCACTCGAAATAACTGATATAAACACATTGACCAGAGGGACATCAACATCAACACTCTCAGACAACAAAGACTAAATTGAGCAGGTGTAGCCAAAGCATTAGCCACCTTACCACTCTCAACAAGTGAAATCCCACTTGTAGGTGAAACCAAATCGCGATACACAAGATCATCGGAAATCATAAGTTCATCATCAGTGACATCCACATTATAACCTGAAGAAACAATAGAACTAGTTATCAAATTGACTAAGCAATGATTCGGCTCATGATCCTCAACAATAACCTCATTAATTACATATGAAGGAGCCACCGGCAAAGCAACATAAGACGGATTGGCAACTCCCTGAACAAGATCAACAACCTCAGTGAGATTTTCCCTATTAGCCTCACCCTCATTCATCTTAGCATGAGTTATAATAGGATTATCCATGTTGTCACCAACAATGCCTAGCGTATTTGAAGAGGGATGAGCCTCTACATTGACTAGAAGGGGTTAACAAGAAGGATTGAGATGGGATGTAAAATATGACAATCTAGTCAATCCTCTTTTGAATGGCCTAATGAATTGCAATGCACGCAATAAGCAAGGAATTCTTCCATTATCACTGACTGGATGTAACCTGATTTCTTAGTACCCACCCAAATTTTATCCAGAAACTTTTTGGAAATATCCAATTCCACAAGAATGCGGGCAACATTAGGATGCGATCCAGAAGCCGTAGCAGTATCGAATTTTAAAGTCCGACCAAACAGGAAGCCCAAATCAAAGAGCATACACTGAGAGAAAAGATGCGACAGTAGATTAAGAAACGAAATCCAAATAGGAATGATAGGAGAATCAACATCAATATCCAAATTGGAGCGTAGGGTCTTATCCCTTGGCATTAATAGGAGTAGGGTTTTGTTTTTTTTTTATGCCTTAGGGTTAGAGAGTAAGATAAATATGAGTACTGTTTTTTTAAGTGAAGCATTTAAGAAGTATTTTTATATGAGAATTTTTAATATCCATATTTTTTATAAGTTCATATTTTGTCAAAATCAAATAAATTTCAAATACATAAACTTTGCATGTCCTCAACATCCCCAACTTCACCATCAGTGTCATGATGTCATCATCCCCATCCCTACACCGCCCTCAATTCTAGGAAAAATTATTATGTGCGGAAGCGGAACCTGTCCGGATACCTAAGCCCGTGGCTCAGTATCCCTCATTACTACGGTACTGAGTGTCGCTCAATATCACTGGCGTTCAACATCAGCACAAAATAATCTCTCTAATTCTAGCCTTACTATCCTTGCACAACCACATCGTTCCTAATCTTGTATAACTGCATTATCCCCACATGACCTCATGCCCAACCCTGCAACCATCTCGCCATCGATCCTGCCTCGCCATCTTCGAAGCAATGTAGCCCATGTTACCACAAAGTAAATATAAAATTAATTTTATGAGTTTATTTTACAACCAGATAAACAACTAAAAAAATCAAATATACAATGTATTTAATTCACACTATATTTATAATAATAATAATAAATCACACTATATTTATAATACACAATTATTTTAAAACCTTATAACCAAACATTTATGTTCCATGCTCGGTCACATATACACTTTCTTAAAAATAAAATAAAGATTGCAATGAAATCGTATAAAATACTTTCGTTAATCCATTGTCTAACAATTTTTTAAATTGTAAAATTGATTATTGTTATTATTTTGAATATAATCACTAAAATAATAAATCTGATTATAATTTTTTTGAATATGATTATTAAAATAATGATCTAGTTTCAAGTTTGAATTGTAATCTTTTTCTTCTCTTGCGTGTGTGAGAAGATGGATTCCATGAAAAACACGAAAGTTTGGAATTGAGATATCATAGAATTGCACGAAAAAAAAAAAAAAAACAGTTGACAGCAAATAGGCTGCAGGACAGCTGAAAAGAAATTCGAAGTAGTGTCAAGTACCCCTTCAAAAAAAGTTTAAATTTAAGTGATTCATTTATATTAAGAGAATACAGAGTAAAATTCGAATGAATGAATTTTTTTTTAACTCCCTAATTCAATTTTTATATATTCTAAATTCACTCAATTTTAATTGAATTCATTTTTCACCATAAGCCAACTGCATTGCCATCACCCACCACTATGACTGACTCGCCTACCATTGCTGACTCGGCGACCACCTTTACCATCCGACCGTTGACCATCGAGTCATCGATTATTGTCCACTGTCGAGTACCACCAATCATCTCCGACCACTATCTTCTGACAACTGACCCCTGACCGTCGCTAGTTAACACCATCCACCGATCATCATTGACCGTCGTCATCAATCACCATAATTATTTTACTTTACATTGCAGTCATTTTGTTTCAAGCAAAAAAAAAAACCGCATACATTCCTTTTATACTCTTCCAAACTTATAAAAATTTCTATTACACTACATTTCTTCCCGTTACATTCATTTTACTCTGCATTTTTTTTAGCAAATCAAACAGTCCCTTCAAGCAAAGTTAAGCTGTATTCATCATCAAGGAACCATGAAACAATTAGAGATATCTCAAGAGGGTTTTTTTATTACACCTCAAATTATCAATCACTGACACACTTACTCCTTTTAACCTCAAAAGTCCTATAATTTCATTCTCTTAATATAAATTCTCTGAAAGATCATCCATCTTATAAGTACATCAGCTTGAGCAAATTAAATCTAGAGTTCCTAAACAAACACCAATAATTACACCAAAAGAGTCCTAAACGTTTAAGAGTTTCTTTTCACTATATTTGAAGAGTGGGTATCTTATAATATCCTCCACTTAATTGAACTAACATCCTCATCAACAAATGGCCTAAAATTATTCAACTGACAGAAAATTCTAGAGATGCTCCACTTAAAATTTAGGTGATGGCTATAATACTTTGTCTCAAACATGCTAGAGTACTGGCACTAATGACATAACACTTATTTATATATTCTGATTGATCTATTACTCATACTGAATAATAATCTAAGATCCCATCGGGTTTAACTGAGTTGATGGGCGAGCATGATTGGGAACCCCCAACCCATATTCGATTTCTTTTTCATACGGCGCGACTCCTTAAGTGGGAAAAAAATAACTGTGTGACCCCGCACCTGTGGGGTTGGTTGCTGGTAGACCCACTGAGGGATTAGTTATGCTGTCATACACCTCTTTTGAGATGACAGCAGGTAAATACCCCCATTCAAAAAATAATAATAATAATAATAATTTAAGCTCTCAACTACTGAGATATTATCCATTTTGATCTCACAAGCCTCATAATTTTATCTTCTTGGTGCAATCGGAAGATCACATATTATAGGAATGCTACAACAGAGGATGTCAAAGTTTGAAATACCTTAGAAAACTCTCTAATCATTACACGAAAAATGTCTCGATGCATAAAAATTTTGCTTCAGAGCCAAACAATCGGAAGAAAAATCAAACTGAGCAAATAACGGGACCAAAGTCTAAAAAGAGGAAGAAATGCCAAGTGATTAATAATGACGAATACAAAATCCAAGAGCAAAATAAATAGAAAGGAAAACGAATTGAAAATGAAAGTTAAATAAATATAACAATATTTAGAACATTTAGCCATACTGTAAATGTCAAGACGAGCTTTGTAAGGATATTTCAATAGGACAAGATAACTATGCATGTTAGCTAACATAGTCAACAAACTAAACTCACCATGGTGATACTTGAGCTTTTGGAAGCATCATGAGATGCCGAAATACTCTTAACACAGCAAAGCAAAATGGCTTTTAAGAAGAACAGGAAAGTCATTTTCCTCCACGAAGAAGTCAATAATATTATCAAACTAAAAGAATATTGAAATGGCAAAGAAAAGTTGATCTAGATGTTGAAAACTCCTGATATAATACCATAGGAATCATGCAAAATCCAACATGACGAAGCACGTGAGGCCACATTGTCTATCTCTCATCAGTCCAAAATATAATACTATAGGAATCATGCAACAGAAAGTTTGACCTGTAATAAGATACTAGAGAAAATCTGTCATATCAAAAATATAATTGAAATAGTTCTAAACTTCAAAAGGCATCTCATTGTCAGCTGCAAGAAAGTACTCAAATATAATGTCCTGAAAATAGCAAATGATCGCACATATATATCAGATATAGGCTTCGTTTGGGACAGTTTTTTTATTACTTCTTAAAGCAACTTTTTAGTAAAAAAAATTAAAAATTTTGAACCAAAAATCTGCTTTAAGAAGCATTAAGAAAGCCGTCCCAAACGAAGCTAAAATCTAATAGAAGCTGTTTGACCATCAGCTGACATAGATTGACATTCTGACTAAGGGGTGATCAAATTAGAAATTTAAAATTATTTATGGCATGTCAGTATAACAAAAAAAAAATCACAGATAAATTTGCCTAAATCATTAAGAAATACATAAAATTAAACAAATAGGCCCCCAATAATTTTTTATTTGATTGTTTACTCATTTGATGCTTAATTGTGAATTTTGGACCCCAAACCCAACCAGCTTAAGCTGAATACCCATGACAGAGGACCTGAGAATATTTTATGATAGTTGGTAGTCTCTTCTTATATATCAAAGGGGTTAGATGGTGCAGACTAATAGAATGCGGCATGTGAGCTACTTAGAAGTTTATATATACTCTTTCTGCTTGTAGGGAAAATGGCTACTCAGTATAGTTTGGCACTTGCCAAAATGATCATGGTGTCTGCTAAATGATTTCAGTGAAGATTGCAAAGTTGTTGAGATGAAGCAATGTGTGTTCTTTGAGGCCAATCAACAAGATTGATTTTGATTGCATTTGGAGAAGTTTTCAAGGCATAGGCTCAATGTTAAGCTAACATTTGAATGAGGTATATTATGGTGTTATGATTTACTTTCATTGAGTATATATAAACTCATTAATTTACAATTATATGGCATGGCTCAACATAGGAGAGAGGTGAGAGGTTAAGAGGTTCAACGGTTATGAGACCTAATGTGATGGGTAACCAATAGATTTGAGTAGCTGATGTCATCAATAAGGTGGATCGATGAGGGCATACTATGAAGCATTTCTTGATGTAGTTTCTTCCATGATGCAAATCATATGATCTTATGCAATTAAATTATGTTATTTTGACCAATGCAATGCTATTTCCTTTTTGTGCTTCATTTTTACTATGTTATTTTTTGCTCTATGAATACATAATGCCTTCCCCATGCCAAAAGCCAATCCCTTCTTGGGTACAACGTATCACTTCTACAGGAGACCATCCGATGGGCAATAGCTCAAGGCCAACAAACAATAGAATAAGGGCTAGATAGACTTGATAAAATGTTGGTTCGTTGAGTAGTCCATCCTGATTCACAACTTGAATTTTTTGTAACTCAAACTAGGACAAAACTTTGCATAATGATAAATTTGTATTCCATTACCTATATCCAACCAAGGAAATTTTAGCACAATGGTAATGAACCTTGTTTATCGGGTAATATTTCAAAAGAAACTTATAATTTTCTAAATAGAAGTTGTCAAAATGAAGGAATTGCTACAATACAGCTATAACAAAGTATCATTTTTTTGGAATAGGAAGTATTTTGGAGCTCTAATGAGAAGAAAATTTAGCAGGAGAGTTATGACTAAAAATCATTCAAGCAGTCCATAGCAGGAAAGAAAATGATCTAGTACATCAATGAATCAAATATGAACAGAGAACATATGAAGATATTATAGTATTTTCCAAATGTCAAATATAACTACCTGGCATGTTACTTTCTTTTTCAATACTATTGTGCAATAGGCTTATTTCTCGTGTCTACACCTCAATAGAGGATGAAACTTCAACCATCAAAGCACTAAGAAGGATATATTTCATCACCATCCTCAATGTCGAGATTGTTTCTAACATCCTTATAAGTGAACAGACCATATAGACGAGCATATGATGGAGCAACTTACCAAAGGTTTGCACTGCACCTTAATTTTTGAAACCAGAATGAACAAACAAGTTAATACATATAATCATAAAATAGAAGATCAATAAACTCTTCATATTTTGGGTGATTGTTACATGTCATATTAACTCATAATAGAAGAACTGTCAACGCTGTTGTTTGTCAACATCAGAAGCTTGTCAGGACAGAAAGAACAAAGCAACTTGTTAAATAAGCGCTATGAGCAACCATATCTACCTCTCTTTCTTCTCACTGATCCCCTTTTTTCTCATTTCCCTAACCAGCTCCACCCATAGATTCGAGATCCACAAGATGCTTACCAATATAGCTCCACCAACAACCACAATCCAAGAAACCGAAACCCATCTAGGAATCACACTATCTGATTCACCACTCAAATAGTAGATGCTCATCTTCAAGAAGAACAGAGGCCCGAGAAATACCCTCATGATCGAATACAAAACATAGAACGGTGGTGAAAGAATCCGATACACATTGGCAGCCACGGCCAGGTCCCCTCGTCGGAGCCCGGCAAGGGTCCAGATGTTCTGGCAAGCGCTGGTGACCTCAGCAAGCACCAAAAGGACCAGAATTGCGAAGGCGCCGTGTAAAACAAGGTACCTGCAGGTAACAAAGACGAAGAGGGTGGCGAGGTGGTGAGCAATGAAAAGGACATCACTGGGGAGGAGGACAAGGTAATGAAGTAGGTCGACGGTGAAGTAAGCGATGCTGAAGTCAAGGGCCAAGTTCTGAGATTTGGAGTTCTCGGAGGCGAATCCGATTGCAGGGTTCTCGAAAAGCGCGAATAAGGCCAAAACGACAGCGGGAGTTCCATGCGCCAGAGAGATCAAGCAGCTTGTCGCATCCGGGCGTTGCTTAGGGTTCCAGTTCCGAAAAACTAGAAAATAAGCAATCAGGTATATGACGGAGAACATAGAGAAGAAAGCTGGGTAGTAGAATCCTTCCAGAATTAGATTTTCCATGCTCGAGATCAAAGAGATAATTAGAAGTAGATTTCACTTCAGCGATTATGATGGATAGAAAAGCCAAAAGATGGTTTTTGAAAGGGAAGCCACATTTGTTCCAAAAAAAAAAAAAAAACTTTATTGTGATTTTTTTCTAAAAATTTAAAATTAAAAAAAAAAACTTTCTTGTGATAAGATCATAAGACACAGACCAGTACCCCGTAGAACCTCATTAGTTGATTCGATCTGCGAGCAGACGAAAGGTTTTTTGAGGATCCGAACCTAAGATATCCGGGTAAAAAGTTGCGTGGAGCTTTGTATAATTTTAGGTTCAGGGCAAATTATTGGGTCAGGTGACCGAACGCAGAGATAGGTTCGGATAATAATAAAATATTATTTTAAAATTAGCGCAACTAAAGCGCAACTAAAGCGCAACTAAAGCGCAACCAAAGCGAAAACATCCATATACTGTAATGAATCAACTCAACCACACATAATTTGTAGAATATCACCCTCCAGAACATCATCCAGATGATGAGAGGTAAAGAGAAACCGACCCAACCAGAATACGGTAAGCAGGTATTATACGAGAATAGCAAAACGTCTGTTAAGATCATCAAATCGCTTCCAGAATTTAACCTTGGTAAGAATAGCATGACGAATAGTGTGAATAAGGTAAGATGGACTTTTCCAAACTTTCTCAAACCTTCTCGAATTTCTTTCTCGCCATAAGAAGTAAATGGTGCTGCAAATAGTGAAAAAGCAAAAGTTTTTCTCCCAAATACAGAAATCCAGAGAATCATCAAAGAGTTGAAATGTCTGCATCAAATTTGGCCTCAGGAGAAAGGCCCCCAGCGATGGTAAAAGAGAGGAGATGACAGTGAATGAGAAGTCACAAGTGAAAAATAAATGAGAATGACAATCTCTACCATTAGAACAAAAGGAGCAAGCAGCATTAACATCAATCCCTCTCGCAATAAGATGGTCAGCAGTTTTTAATTTACCAAGCATAGCCATCCAGGCATAAGACGAAAATCGGAGAGATTTTTTCTTATGCCAAACAAATTTATGCCAAAGAACTTCCTCTAATAAACCAAAATAATTGTTGTAAAAGGTAGAGAAGGAAGGGTTAAGAGAGCCATCCCAGGAAATCTTCAAGTGCTCGCTAAAGTTAAATTCTAAGAGCTCCGATAGCAGCAAGTTAGGAGTGGAAGGAGGTAGCATCCAGTCATTGGTAAGATACCCACCCAAAACCTAAGCTCAAAAGTAAGGAAAATAAAAGACAAAAGTAGCAGCTTCAGAAGATGGACTCAGATTACAGGACTGCAAGTAGATTATCGCAATAACAAAAAGATAATCCAACCGGGAGGAAGCAGGTTGCCGCTGCAAAGAGCAGGACCATCACAGCTTCACGTATAGCTCGAGAAAATTGCCCAGAAAAACCTTGGTTGCCAAAAAGACCATCCAAGGGGGCTGATGCAGTCCATATCTCATCATCGTCCTCCAAATGCAAAACCAGCACATAGAACTTGCCAACAATTCCCTGCCCAAAATAGTGGGTCTAAGAAAGAGTTGCCTTGCAGTAGGGAGAACCGCCAAAATGATGTCATACGAGTAAGAGCACTCAAAAAATAAATGAGTAATAGATTCATGGAAAATGTGACAAAGACTGCAAGAATGAGGCACTACCAGGGATGGTGGAAGGAAGAGCCCACAAGTTGTTCACAATATAGTCCCTTATTGTAGATTTGCTTGACATAGCTTGCATCACATATAACCCATCCGAAAAATCGTCCAACCTCCCATTGTAACACCAATGATCCCAGTGAATAGAAATAGGGGCAGACGCAGTAATACGAAAAAAGAATTTAGACTTAGCTAAAGCAGCAGTTGCACAAACCGACATCCAGAATTTAGTGGCAATAACAGGAGGAGCACACCAAGGGGATAAATATTTAGTGCAAAGCCAAGAAGATAAAGGGGATCTTAAATTATACATCCTCAAAATTACCGAACAATTAAAAGCATATTGGACACCAGTAAGTGACGGAATCCCCAGCCCCCCAAACTGTTTGGGCTTACAAACATTCTCCCATGATATCATGTGAATCTTCTTGCTGATACTAGGATCACCAAAAAATAGAAACTTTGAGCAGACTTTTTTAAAAAATTTGAATACAGCCTTAGGTAATATTGCACCTCTTATCCAATAAGCAATAGAATTTAAAATGGTGAATTTTAAGAACTGAGTGCGGCCAGCAAAGGAGAGGAGATTCGCTTTCCACCCTGAAATTTTTTTTGTAATGCTATCCATAAGTTTTTTTGTAAAGCTTAGATATTCAAATATTAGGAATTTAATTGTAGAAAAAAAATGCTAAGAAAATACAAGCCATAAAAAATATTATTTAAAACAAAGCGGTGGGAGCCAAACAAACAATCCTTATATTAAAATTATATGTATTAATATGTTAAAATTAATAAAACTTGGGATCTAACAGAGTCGAGTTCTTGCTTACTGAAGTCTTGCTCATTTACTCTATAGTGAGCACAAATTTGAGCTCATTTGTTGAGCTCGAGCTCTATTTGAGTAACCAAATATGAGACATGAGCACCTCAATAATAAAGTTCGAGATTAACTCATTTTGGAGCTCGATTTCTTATTTTGAATATAGATAAAAAATAATTAATTAAGCTTGTGTAAACTCAAAATGTTAATTAATATTAATTGAGCCACCTCAACTAGCCGACGAGTTGAGCCCAACTAAGCTAAAAGTCGAACTCATATAATATATGAACTCGAATTTAAGCTTAAACTCAAATTTGTGGCTCAAAAAATTTAACTCGATAGCTTATCAACAAGTTGAATTTGAGTTAGCTCACGAGCAGAGTCGACTCATTTTGTAATATTTGCAAAAGTAATATAAAGCCATATTTTTCAGCCAAAAAGCAGTTTTCTAATCAAAGTCCCTTTAAATTGGTGTTCGATGAACAATTTAATAAAAATTATAAAATTTAACAAATGTTTTCTTTTAATATTTCAGTTTATTTTTTAATCAATATTTTTTATCGTATTTAACTATTTAAGAAGTAAAATTGATACTTAATTTAAAATAATTATTAAATTATCTTTATCAGAATTTATGATATTACGCAATTGCCCTAATTGAAAAAATGATAGTTCTAATTTACCATCAATTGATTATATTCAAATGTTCCTTTTTTTTATTTCTTCAAAATAAAATTAATATTGTATGCATAACATTGCATCAAATAAACGTAATGTTAATATTTTTAAACATCAAATATTAATTCTTATCCGATAATATTAATTTGAGATGTGCATAATTCATTAAAAAAAAATCCCATATTGTTATGAATAATATTTTTTGGGTTTTTGAACTTAATTTTTTATCAATTTCCATCAACAACTCCCCAAAATTTAGTTTTTATTAAGGTTTAATTTGACACAGCTTTTTTACTACTTTTTAAAGCAGATTTTTAGTGTAAAATATTTTTAAATTATAAAATTTTGTGCTAAAAAATTGCCTTAAAAACATTAAAAAAAAGCCACCCAAAAGAAGACTGCTTCCTCTGGGACGGCTTTTTTAGTGCTTCTTAATGGAGTTGTCTAGTATAAAAATTTTAATTTTTGATCTAGAAAGCTGCTTCAAGAAACAGTAAGAAAGTTGTCCCAAACAAAAGGCTTCGTTTGAGACGGCTTTCTTACTGCTTCTTAAAGCAGCTTTCATGTATAAAAATTAAAAAAAATTTGTATTAAAAAGTAGTAAGAAAGCCATTCCAAACGAAGCCTAAGATTGAAGGGCGAAATTATGATAGGAAGAGCAACTTATTCATGACCTTAAGGACAGAATGCCCATGTAGACATCCAAAGCCTGATGGCCGCACCTTAAATATTCCTACAATCTTGTTTTTATTAAAAAGTTTGCAAACTATAGTATTTTTTATCTCATAGATCTGGACATTTATAAATAAATAAAAAAATTATTACGTCATTAAAAATTTCATTTGATCGAGTATGAATTTTAAATATTTAAGCAATGAAGTATTCAGATAAAAAAACTTTAGGAATTGAATTTTCAACCATTTTATAGTAGCTACAATGTAATTTGATGATACTGAGTCAAACTATACAAAGATTGTACGGATCTAAGCCTAAATTAACTTAAATAAAGCAATCAAAAGCATAATTAAAAACTTATTTTGACCATTTAGTGGTTCAAATGTCCTTTGAATATTGTTTATTTTTTAGTTCATTATATCAGGTGCTGTTAAAAAAAATAATGAAGTGATCATATTTTACCTATTTAGACTGTTGGATAGAATTATTGGTTTTTTCTTGCAAAAATTGCAAGAACAAGCCTCCATAAACTAATGAATATATCAAAATAATCAAATTCTTACACATGTGGGGTGGCACTTTTATGAGAGAGAAGTAGTAGAATGAAAAAATTTTAGAGCCTTGATTTTTCACCTCCTGAGTCCTGTCATTGGTCATAGATCAACATCTACACCATTTATTGCCACCATCATAAGTTGATTTCCAATCAACATCGTTGCGAGCCATCATCATAATAAAAATCATCTATTGAGCAAGATTTACATCCTTTTTTTGTTAACTTCCAACATCCCTCATTGATTGTTATTGCGGATTGGAAAGTTTGCAACGGTAGAGAGAAAGAGCTTAATGTCTTAGCTTTGAAAGATGATTCATCGCACATACAGATGAATAGAGAGGGGTGAGAGAATCATAAGAGATATCAAAATTTTTACGTAGGAAACCCTAAAAAAAGGAAACACCTCGGGGATTCGCCCACTTGAAATGGTTACACTAGTGTTTATTGTTGATTACACATGAAGCCCTTCCATGGGGAAGGCCTTGGCTTGATTTAGTAAATATACATCATATAGAGCACATTACAAGGTAGTAGTTGGAAGAATCTAGTGATATGAGAGTTGTTCTCAAAAGAGTGCGGGCTTGTTCATTTGGCCAGCGGGACCATAGTCAGGCGACAATGGTCAGAGGGACTGTAGTAAGTGGGCGATATTAGTTGAGGGACCGTAGTCGGTGGGCGATAGGAGGTCTGAGGGATCGTAGTCGGTGAGCAGCGGTGGTCGAAGGTATCATAGTTAACATACAACAGTGATCGAAGGGATCGTAGTTAGCAAGCGATGGAGATTGGAGGGACCGTGGTCGGCTGGCAATGGGAGGTCGGAGGGACCCTATCTGGGGGCAACGGTGATCCAAGGTACAATAGTCAGGTGGGGGGGAGGCGAAGGGACGGTAGTCAGTAGACGACGAGATATTAGAGGGGTGGTAGTCGGCGGGCGACGATGGTTGAAGGGACCTTAATCAAGAACCTATAATGGTCGGAGTTAAGGACCGTAATCAGGGCGACGATTGTTGGCAAAACCGTATGTTGGTTTAGCGATGATCGGCTACCAGAAGGTGGTTCAACGCGGTCAGTGACCATGCAGTGGTCTAAAGATGGTCGGGTGTAAGTCTGACGTTGGTTGACAATCGGGTGGTAGTTTGGCAATGGTTGATGGTGGGGCCATGGTCCGAAAATGGTGGGGCAGAAGTTCGATAGTAGTCGGCGGAAGGGTGGAAATCCAGCGGTGGTCCGATGATTATAGGGTTGAAGTCTGTTGCTGATCGGCAACCGGGTGGAAGTTCAGCAGTGGTCGGCGGGCGAGCAGTATCTGGTGTTTGTCAGCGGCCGGGTGGAAGTTTGGCTGTGTTCTGCGGCTGGGCAGTGGTCTGATGATGGTAAGGTGGAAGTGCAACAACTGTCGGCTAAGATTCTCTGGCAATGGCGCTGGAGCTCTTGATTCGACTATAAGCATGCCATATTTTGATATCATTTTGTCATCCATCTTTCGAATACATTTTAGACTCTTAATTCATACCAATTAGAGCTTAAATTGGACCCATTTTGGTGTCATTGGCTTCGTCTCTTCGAGACATTCACAATGACTATAAGTTTGATAAAATTAGAGTTCATATATTCCTGAATTTAATTTTGAATTTTTTCAACTTGAATACGCCTCAAGATTTGTGCACGATCAAGATGATTTTTGGTGACGTATCAATTGTCACTTGATATATACTAATTATTAATGTCTGATATCCTTTAAACTCAAAAGTCCCATGTTTATCTTCCATGTCCCCCAATCTTCTTTATTATTTGGAGAATTTATGAGCTAATTGTTGGACATTACACAGCCTTCATCAATCCTCCTCATCTTCCATTTTGCAATGTAAGTTACCCATCAATATTTGATGCTTGTCTTTGTAGTTGCTTAGTTTCCCATTCTATTAAAAAAAAGACTGGGTCTATCATCAATTGTCACTCATTACATGAATATTGATATTCTTCTCCGGTCGTTGCTTAATTTTTTAAAAGGATTGTTGTTGGAGTAATGAACTCTATTAGCTATTGATGCTTGACGTTCACTTTCCTGGGAAGTGAATCTCGCGTTCTATCAAAAGAACCAAGCTGACAACCCACCAGTGTGAGTTAGTGTTCGTTGGCAATTGTCATCAAATTCATGTCAGTGAATTACATTTGATGTCCATCAATCACCGACATCTAACATCCAACACTCTTTTCTAAACAATTAATCTTCTTACTTTGTTGAGAGCACACACTCATTTAATGATAAATCTAATACCTCAATACTCATCATACCACCACTATAAGAGAGATATTTTATGATTCTTGTTCATTTCAAAGTATTACTATCCTCTGTTTTTATAGCAAATATACTCTTTGTAATAATTAATTCACACTACTATAATCATTTTAAGACAATGTTGCTACACCAATAACTTATTTTATTGTTACATAAATAAATAAAAAAACATATTTTAATTTATTAATATATTTTATTTTATGTTTAAATATAAATAAAAAAAAAATAAAAAAGAAGGGCCCAAGAGCACAAAAAAAGTGATCCAAAATGCACCCTTCACCAGGGCTGCAAATGAACCGGGCCGAGTCGAGTATGCGAGTGTTCATGTTTGTGTTCATTTAATATCAGCTTGTTCAAGTTTGGTTCATGTTTGTTCGAGCTTTAGCGTTTGTGTTCATGTTTGGTTCATTTAAATTAATGAGTGTTCATGTTTGGTTCATGTTCTCATGTTCGTTCGTTTAGTGTTTATCGAGCTTGTTCGCGAACATATTTAACGAATTTTTTTAACTATCAAACAAACACATTCATGAACATATCTATGAATAAATACATTTATAATAAAAGCAATTGTCTATGTAACAAAGGTAATGATTATTTATTTTATTAATTCTATAGTCAAATATTAATTATTTTTATCGAGCTTATTCACGAGTTCAAAATCGAACATGAATCTAGCTTTTATTGAGCTTCTTATCGAGCTTAATGTTGAGCTTGTTCACGAACTTCAAATGATGTTGTTCGTGAACATAAATGAGCCGAACACATTAGTGTTCAAATTTATTCATTTAAGAATCAATTATTTAAAATATTATTCAAATTTATTTGTTTAATTAATTAAACGATTGCAAACGAGTTTTAACTCGCGAAACGTTTTGTTAGCTTGCAGCCCTACCCTTCACAATTATGCGGGCAAAAAATATGCTCCTATTTATATAAACAAAAATAAAGCCAGCATCATTTGGAGGATTGAAGCCATGGAAGTGGACAGAGCAGAAACCAGCTCCGCTGCCGGGGTTTGTTTGCCATTGGGATCGCCGACCTTCATTGATATCGGGAACGGTCGATTGAGATGCAAGGAGACAGGGCACGAGTTCCCGGCTAAGGACATGGACTCCTACGCCCAGACCAAATCCTGCCGCCTCGCCCTCATCGACGTTGCTCTCTCCAGGAAGCAGCCCCCTCTACATACTTTTCTTCCCCACTCGCTGTCCAAGTATCAAAATCTCTCACTCTCTCTACCCTACACCACCTCACTCAATTTTTCTATCTATCCGATGTGTACCATATTCAGTTTTTTTATGAGGTTTTGTTTGCTTTGTAGGTCGAAACTCTTGTGCAGTTTAACGGGGGATACGATCAATAAGTCGGAGGAGCATATTTGGAAGCATATCAACGGAAAACGGTTTCTGAAGAAACTTGGTAATGTAAAGTATAAACTTCTTGGCATTCATTCTCTTCCTTCGTGGGTAATCTGGATCTAGATATTTGGAATCTACACTTTGATTGCCATTGGAAAGTGCATTAGCCTTGTTTTATAATCCACTAACCAAGGTATTTAGTTTTGCCAATTATTTAATGCGGAAACAGTTTTTTTTATTGATTGAGTTTGGGAAAACAAATTGTGTTTGGTTCGATACCATGTCCTGCATACAATTACCTAAAATAAAAATTTAGCATGCCAACCCTATATTTTTGTCTGCGGTAAGGCCATCTGACGCTTAAGTTATTAACTGGGCTTGAATGTGAATAAAAGCTAAAACCAATTTAGTAGGGTTTTCCTTTAGAAGAGAGAGCGTGCCATATCATAGATTTAAATTAGAGTTGGATCTATGTTGATGGTGATGGGTCTGAGATAATGCTGATGGTGATTCAAATCAAATGGTCATATTTATATTAGAACAGAACCACAACATTAGTGTTAATGAGATATGCTTCTCAAGGTTGATCAATAAGTTGTCACGAATATTGATGTGATCAAATATTGTAGGAACTAGAAGGGCAATCTTCCTTCTAATTAGCTAAGATATTTGGTTTTACCAATTATTGATGCAAAAATAGTTTTCTAAATTGGTTGAATTTGGGTAGACTTATTGTTTTTAGTTCAATACCACACCCCACATGCAATCGATTAAAATAAAGACGAGTTGACTTGAAAATTTTGTCTACGGTTAGTCCATATGATGCTTAAGTTATTAACTAGGCTTGAAATTGAATACTAGCTGAAACCAATTCAGTAGAATTTTCTCTTAGAAATAAAAGAGAAAGGAGTCGGAGAGCCTTTTTTTTTTAAAGTTTGGGAGGGCCTTTTCACCAATCCCTTTTGCGTGCATATATTGGCGTTTTCGATAAAGAGCATTATGAAGTGTATGGTGGACCAATAAGCCATGTTGCCATTGATGTTTGTGCTAGGCTAAAATATTCCTTATGACCTCCAATTGAGCCACGTCATTCTTGAGATTCATGTTGTATCATTATGTCTCTATTGATAACGAAGAGATATATGTAGTCTAGAGGACCTATGATTAGTGATAATGGAGATTTAAATTAGATTTGGATCTATATTGATGGCTCTGAGATAGTGTTGATGGCGATTTGAATTGGATGATCATATTTATATCATAATCACATGGTTAGTGTCAATGAGATGTACGTCTTAGCGTTGATTGATTAGTTGGTACGAATCTTGATGTGATCAAGTGGTGTGTGACCTAAAGGAACATCTTCCTTTTGAGTCTTATTGTGCAAAGAGCCAAAGGCCATCTTAACATGAATTGTATTATCCTTAATGAAGAGTTGGAATTAATCAAGGCTTATTGTTCAGTTTCCTTAAATTACCTTTACTTTTTGTTTTTTCTATTAGAACTTAGAAGTTCAAAGTACTTTTTCTTTCCATTTTTAATAGATTATTATACTAATAATTGCACATTTCTTATAAGTCAGAAAGATTTGATTCTCTTCTAAAATTGTCGTCCAAATTCAAACTTCTGTGATCACAACAACTCTTAGAGACTTAGAGTATTAAGGTAGACACATTTAAGATTATGGATCGAAAGGTATTGAACTGACTCATGTGCCTTTTATGTACTTGGTCAATAAATAAGCCATCAAGGCAAGATCCGAGATCAATTTAGGGAAATACAAAATTGATATTAGAACGACAGTAATGCCACCTCATTAAATTTGGATTCATTCCAAAGTTGTGGAGTGTGGACCAAATGTGAAACAAGTTGGACTAGATAGATCAGTGGTTAAACTCATTTTCAATCAAAAAGCTTAAGCTTTTGAGTGAAGCCAAACACTTTATATTTCTACACCATCATGTTTTTTTTTTACCTATTCTATATGGGATTAAATCCAATATTCCCTCTAAGCCATAACAATACCCCTCCACCCACCCATGTGAGAGTTGTCCACATCAGCAAACACCCTCTTAGACACATACATCAAGAATTCAATCAACCACGTTGTGCCACCATTTATATTTTGGTTGATTTTCTTTTAGTACGTTGCATATAAAATGCACTTAATGGCTCCTTTGTACTCAGCTTGCGGGGGCATGTTAAGAACCACTGGTTATATTCATATTGCTATCCTATTATTAATTGACACGTGTACCTATCATATATGTAACTCTATAAATACACTTGTATAGCTGTAACAGAGTAGGGAAAAACATTAATAAAGTTTTCATTTATTCTTCTTCTTCTTCCTCTATCAGTCGTGTTATGCATTTCTACATGGTATCAAGAGCCTCAAGATCCTGAGGAGCTTCTTCATGGCGGATCAGTCTTCCACTTCTTCCTCCACGGGTTTTGCGACTGGAGCAAAATCCTCAACTACTGCTATTTCTCCCTCTCTCAAGTTTGTGATTTCAAATCTCAAACTACTTGTTCTGCACGCTCTGACAGCGGATAACTTTCCCATTTGGAGTACTCAGATTGCCAAATTGTTTCGAGCAAATGGGTTCGCCGAGTTTCTTGATTCAAAACCGGACACCGAAAATCTTGATCCAAATCACGATGCGCGTTCTTGGCAGATTACCGATCAAAATCTGGCGACTGCTATGTGTTCTACCATTTCGCCGGCACTACTTCCTTATGTGATTCATCTTGAATCAACTCACACCATCTGGACAACCCTTCATACCAGATTTCAATCCTCAAACCGCTCCAAAGTCATACAGCTCAAAAACGAGCTGCACAATGTTTCAATGCAGTCCATGAACATGACTCAGTACCTTACTGAGATCAAGAAAATCGTTGATCAGATTTCCTCTGCCGGTTCCTCGGTTGATCAAGAAGACGTAATACTTTACATACTCAATGGCCTTCCTCCGGAATATCATGCCTTTACGACAACCATCCGCACAATGCAAGGATCTTTGTCGCTGGATAGCCTTTATGCGCTTCTTGCTAGTGAGGAAATTCATCTCAAAAATGTTGCACAGAAGTTTCCAAAAATGTCGGATAACCAATCCGCCCTCTACTCGATGCGTGGTCGCGGCAAACGTGGTCGCGGACGATCTACATCTGGATCGGCGACAGGGCAGAATTACAACTCACAGTCTGCTATCATTTGTCAAATCTGCAAAAAGAAAGGGCATGGTGCGGATGCGTGTTGGCATAGGCTCAACATCAATTACAAACCAACTCCGGTTGCTTCTAAGAACAATACCGCTCTTGCTGCGAATCAAGATACCACATCGCACACCGATTGGTTCATCGACTCCGGTGCTTCATCTCACATGACAAACACCACCGAAAACATGGATTTCTATAACACCTACAATGGTGCTGACACGGTAATTCTCGGGGATGGGAGATCCGTCCCTATTGCACATACGGGCTCGGGCATTCTTCCCACCCCGTCGAGTAAGCTTATTTTATCACAGCTTTTACATATTCCCTCATTGTCTTACAATCTTTTATCTATATCTAATCTAGTTAAAGACAACAATATCTCTATTACATTTGATTCTAACGGGTTTGTATTTAAGGATCGGACAACAAATCAAATCCTTCTTAACGGACCATGTGATCAAGGTGTATACAAGATCGCAAATCAAAGCTCCAGAACTAGTTCTTCCGCTCTATCGGCAACCTCTGTCTCTTCGGACATTTGGCATATGCGGCTTGGTCATCCTCACCAACGCGTGCTTACTCAGATTGCTAACAGCAATCCTGCTTTACATATTAAACATTGTAAATTTCCTTGTAGTTCTTGTATGTCCTGTAAAGGTCATAAAATTGTCTTTGATCGCTCTATTAGTAAAACTACTTCTCCGTTGCAACTGGTTCACTCCGACGTATGGGGTCCGTCGCCGGTTTCGTCTCACCAAGGATTCAAATACTACGTCATATTTGTCGATGATTTTTCGCGTTATGTTTGGTTGTTTCCTATTATGAACAAATTCGATGTTACTAACACCTTCATTCATTTCACTACGTTTATTGAACGTCAAACGAACCATAAAATTAAAACCCTCAGAACTGACGGTGGCGGCGAGTTCGTTAATTCTCGGTTTAAAGCTTTTACTCAAAATGCAGGTATTAAGCACCAAACCTCGTGTCCATATACTCCCGAACAAAACGGGATAGCAGAGCGTAAGCATCGTCACATAATTTCCACTACTAGAACTCTTCTACAAGCGGCAGGTCTACCGTTTGAATATTGGCTTGATGCAGCTCTCACGGCCACATACCTCATCAATCGTCTGTCGTCTACTACGACCGAGAACGTTGCTCCACTTACCAGGATGTTTAACATCCAACCTTCCTACGCTCACTTACGTACATTTGGTTGTGCCTGTTTTCCGCTACTACCTTCCGTCCGTCATATGAAACTTCAGCCCACTTCACCACCGAGCATTTTTCTGGGCTACTCTGATACATCCAAAGGCTATAGATGTCTTGACATGGTAACAAACAAAATTATTATATCTCGAAACGTTACTTTTGACGAATCTCTTTTTCCTTTTAAAAACAGGCAAACTCAACCTCCTTTTGTTGTGTCCGATGTACCGTTTCCACTTTTAATCCCCTCGTCTATCTTACCTGTGCAAAATACCAATGATACAACTCAGCCATCTCGACAAAATTTGCCCACAGCGTCCGTCTTAGCCGATACCTCTCCACGGCGCTTACAAGATCCTGAGATTAGCTCCGCACAGGTTCCTTCTACTAATCAAATCATTACTTCAACACATCCCATGATGACGAGAACCAAAACAGGATTACTGAAACCGGTAAACAAGCTCAATTTGATACATCAAAATCAGAACAATATAGATCCGACTTCATATACTGAAGCAAGCAAGAAGTTCGAATGGCGTCAAGCTATGGCTCAAGAATTCTACGCACTCCAACGGCAGGGAACTTGGACACTGGTTCCGCCGCCCATACATGGTTCTATTCTTGGTTCTAAATGGACATATAGAACCAAATACAATTCAGATGGATCTGTCGCAAGGTTCAAAGCAAGACTTGTCGCATTGGGTAATCAACAAGAATATGGGCTAGACTATCACGAAACTTTCAGTCCTGTTGCAAAGCTCCCTACTATCCGGATTCTACTTACCATTGCTTTGTTCCACCATTGGCAAATCCACCAACTGGACGTTGCCAATGCATTTTTGCATGGCGACATTCAAGAAACGATCTTTATGCGCCAACCTAAAGGATTTGAGGATAATTCGTATCCGCATTATGTCTGTAAGTTACAAAAGGCGATATACGGTCTCCGCCAAGCTCCCAGACAATGGTACACTACCTTCACGACCTACCTGCTTCAAATCGGTTTTTCTCAAAGCCAAGCCGATCCGTCGCTCATGATTCTTCATCGCAACAATGTTCGTCTTTATTTACTCGTCTATGTGGACGACATTCTACTTACCGGAAACAACACTCAAGCTATGAATGATCTAGTCGGTAAACTCAAATCCAAATTTACCATGAAACATCTCGGATTGGCACACCAATTTCTGGGCATAAAAATTGATCGCCACCCAGATAAGTATTTTCTATCTCAATCTCTATACGCTAAATCTATTCTTCAAATGGCCGAGTTACCTAAATGTAACTCGGTCGCTAATCCTTCAATTACAAAACCCGCAGCATTGTCTTCTCCACCAACTTCGATTTTCGATGCGGTTCTATACAGACGATTAATTGGAGCTTTACAATACTTGACACTGACGCGTCCCGATATCTCTTACGCCGTCAATGCTCTTTCTCAACACATGCATAGTCCTGAACCGATTCATACCGCCATGTTAAAAAAACTTCTTCGGTACATACAAGGGACAGTTGATTTCGGACTGCCAGTCACACGCTCCAACCTGACTCTAACCACATATTCAGACGCTGACTGGGCATCCGATCCAATTACTCGTCGATCTACCTCAGGCTTCTGCACTTTTCTTGGAGAAACGTTAATCTCTTGGACAGTTAAGAAACAAACAACTGTATCCCGTTCTTCCACAGAATCGGAATACAGAGCTCTTGCATCTGCTACTGCGGATACAATCTGGATCAAGCGGCTTCTGGCTGATTTTCAGGTTTCACATACTCAACCAGTTGACATCTTCTGCGACAACACATCCACGATTGCCCTTGCAAACAATCCTGTCTTTCATGCTCGCACAAAGCACATCGAAATAGATCAAAGGTTTGTGCGGGATAACATTCAAAACAATACAATTCGTTTGCTTCCAATCAATACCGTTGATCAGAAGGCAGATATTCTCACCAAACCTTTGAACACTCCACGGTACAAATTACTTCGCAACAAACTGACCATTGGACCCAATACTCAGCTTGCGGGGGCATGTTAAGAACCACTGGTTATATTCATATTGCTATCCTATTATTAATTGACACGTGTACCTATCATATATGTAACTCTATAAATACACTTGTATAGCTGTAACAGAGTAGGGAAAAACATTAATAAAGTTTTCATTTATTCTTCTTCTTCTTCCTCTATCAGTCGTGTTATGCATTTCTACAGTCTAGAGGACCTATGATTAGTGATAATGGAGATTCAAATTTGATTTGGATCTATATTGATGGCTCTGAGATAGTGTTGATGGTGATTTGAATTGGATGATCATATTTATATCATAATCACAAGGTTAGTGTCAATGAGATGTACGGCTTAGCGTTGATTGATTAGTTGGTACGAATCTTGATGCGATCAAGTGGTGTGTGACCTAAAGGAACATCTTCCTTTTGAGCCTCATTGTGCAAAGAGCCAAAGGCCATCTTAACATGAATTGTATTGTCCTTAATGAAGAGTTGGAATTAATCAAGGCTTATTGTTCAGTTTCCTTAAATTACCTTTATTTTTTGTTTTTTCTATTAGAACTTAGAAGTTCAAAGTACTTTTTCTTTCCAGTTTTAATAGATAATTATACTGATAATTGCACATTTCTTATAAGTTAGGAAGATTTGATTCTCTTCTAAAATTGTCGTCGAAATTCAAACTTCTTTGATCACAACAACACTTAGAGTATTAAGGTAGACACATTTAAGATTATGGATCGAAAGGTATTGAACTGACTCATGTGCCTTTTATGTACTTGGTCAATAAATAAGCCATCAAGGCAAGATCCGAGACCAATTTAGGGAAATACAAAATTGATATTAGAACGACAATAATGCCAACTCATTAAATTTTGATTCATTTCAAAGTTGTGGAGTGTGGACCAAATGTGAAACAAGTTGGACTAGATAGATCAGTGATTAAACTCATTTCAATCAAAAAGCTTAAGCTTTTGAGTGAAGCCAAACACTATATTTCTACACCATCATGTTTTTTTTTTTTTTTAACCTATTCTATATGGGATTAAATCCAATATTCCCTCAAGCCATAACAATACCCCTCCACCCACCCATGTGAGAGTTGTCCACATCAGCAAACGCCCTCTTAGACACATACATCAAGAATTCAATCAACCACGTTGTGCCACCATTTATATTTTGGTTGATTTTCTTTTAGTACGTTGCATATAAAACGCACTTAATGGCTCCTTTGTACATAATAGATTTATAAACGCATAATTGTTTTTTCTTGGCTATCAGAAGAAGGGGATTCCTTTTGTAGTCCTTTATTTGAATTTAGAAGATATGAATCCTATATGTCTTGCATGTGCACTGTAAATAGATGAAGTAAAAATGCGGCAATCACCAGAAAAGGTTGAGAAGGATGTGAAGAAGTCAAGAAAGCTGTCAAACTTAAATTCATATCCTCTTTACTGTCGGAGAGCCAAAGCTTTTATGCCTACGGAACCTGCGGCAGAGAGGAGAAGCAGTGATTCTGAAGAGCCCAATTTCTGGATTCCTACTGTTCGAGGTCATTGGGATTCTGATGATGAAAAAGTTAGCTGGGAATCGCGCATCACTTCTTTTCAGGAAACGGAAGCTAACCAAGGCTCAGGTAAGATAGAAATATTTAATTTACAGATAACAATCTAACTTTTTTATGATGAATTCTGCTTTTTTTCAGCACTAATTCTTTGATGAGAATACTACTTTCTTTGTTTTTTTTTTTTTTTAATGTTATAGAGCTCCTAGGAAAAAAATTGGCTTCTAGATTTTCTTTGTAACTATTGGAGAGAATTTTGTATTCCCAGCAAGTGATCATAGTAGCCTCATGAAACAAATTTTCCTAGATTGTAGTTCTCCACAATAATGAGAAAAGAATACATACTAAATTATGCAAATTATCTTTTTCTGCTTGCAAAGTTCTAAAGCTGAATTTAGGGATAAAGCTGTGCCCTACATATGAAGACATTAAAGCTCAATTCTATAGGGTAAGGGTGTAAAAAGTCATGCTTGAGTGAACTTAGGCATTGTTTAGCTTGATTCTTTACCTGTTCAGTCAATGCAAGAGAATTTCATTCTTGTTAATCTTCACAATATCAAAAGATATAAGCATACTAGTCGAGAAGGTAAGGGTGTAAAAAGAATCGAGCTTGAGCAAGCAAATGCTTTGTTTGCCTTGGTATTCTAATTATGCAGTTGAGCACATGCGGAGCTAGGGGTGCAAACGAGTCTAGTTGAGCTCGAGTTAAGGGTTGTTTGAGTCGAGTTCGACCATCAAATACTGAGCTCAAGCTCGACTCGACAGGGGAAAAAAATAGCTCGTTGAGCTGCTCATCGAGTGGCAGTTTGAGCTGTTGATCCTCATCCGTCCGTCGTGCCAGCGTCAATCATTAGCGTCGCCAGCGTCTACGTCTTCACCAATGTTCGCATCGTCGCCAGCGTTCGCGTCGTCTTCGCCAGTGTCCGTCGCCAGCATCAGTCGTTGTCATCGCTAGCATTAGTTTTCTTCGCCAACGTTAAGCCAGTGTTAGTCGTCGCTGCCAATGTATGTCCATCTCCAACGTCCGACCAGCCTCAGTCCATTGCATTTCTTTTTTTTGCTTACGCGATTTCATTTTCCCCTCAGCAACACGTTCCGCGAGTTGCTCGACGTGCTCGCGAGTCGAGCGGAGGACTGTTCAAGCTCGAGCTCGATAAGCTGTCGAGCTCGTAATTGTGTTTGAGCTCGACTCGCGAGCTCGATAAGTTCGACTCGTCGAGATTGTTACCGAGTCGAGCTCGAGCCAGCTCGTGAGTTGACTTGACTTGATTGCACCCCTAAGCAGAGCTGAAGCTTGTAATGATGTGGGATTTTAAATTAGGGGTTATAGTGGTGGCTTCCTCTATAGGGCTTTGGTCGGTAGTTATCCTATTCCTTGCATTTTCTTTTGTATGTTTTTTGCGAGCAGTTACCTTCATTTGACTCTTATAATGCCTATATTTATTATGCAATTCATGCAACGTGACCCCTATAGTTTTGCAGTCCCTATGGTTAAATGTTTGGCTCCATTTTAATTAGCGCCTATTCAGGAGTTTCCATAGGTTCATAATAATTTTTTACCATTTAAGATGTAGTTTTCTTTTGGATGTTACTATGTGATCTCATCCATTTTAGGGAATCAATCAACTATTGAAGATAAGAATTCTATAGATGCGAGCCCTTAAAATTTTACATCTTAACCTCTCAATGCTTTCGAGAGAGTTTTAACATAATAAGTTCCAGGTTAAATTTTCAGAAAACATATTAGATTAGAAATAAGACACTACCTAGATATTTTGTCCTCATTTTTGCTAGGACTTTAAGATATGAGTTCAAGTTTTTCAATTAATGCTAGTAATTAGATTGACATCAAGTTTATAGTTGTTGCATCCTGGAATATTCGCGGCTGTAGCGAAATATATAGTTTAACGTCTAAGCATTGTACGAACATTCAGCACACAAGCATATAAGAGAGAGAGTGTAGCGTTCATAAGAGACACCAAAGTTTTTACGTGAAAACACCTGAAAAAGGGGAAAACCACGGGGCCTTGCCCAGCTTGAATTAATCCACTAGTATTTGCAGTTGATTACAAATGAGGCCCTTCCGTGGGAGTATGCCTTGGCTTGATGTCACAATTGTACATCGTATAGAGCACATTACATGGTGGGAGTTACAATAATCAACATAGATATGTTTGTTTGGTTTGAAGGGCCATAGTCGGCACGATACAGGGGCCCGAAAGACAGTAGTTGGCAGAAGACCAGGGTCAGAAAGACCGTTGTCTGGCGATGTAGGTTGGAAGGACCTTAATAGGCGACGAAAATCGGAAGAACCATAGGCGGCAGGAGACAAGAGTCCGAAAGACTGTTGTCTGGCGATGTAGGTTGGAAGAACCGTAGTAGGCGATGGAGGTCGGAAGGACCATAAACGGCAGGAGACAAGGGTCCGAAAGACCGTTGTATGGCGATGTAGGTCGGAAGGATCGTAGTAGGCGACGGAGGTCGGAATGACCATAGGCGGCAGGAGACAAGGGTCTGAAAGATCGTAGTTGGCAGGAGACCGGGGTCTAAAAGATCGTAGTCTGGCGATGTAGGTCGGAAGGACCGTAGTAGGCGACGGAGGTTGGAATGACGATAATATGCAGGAGACAAGGGTCGAAAGATCGTAATTGGCAGGAGACCGGGGTCTGAAAGACCGTTGTCTGGCGATGTAGGTCGGAAGGACCGTAGTAGGCGACGGAGGTCACGGAGGTCGGAAGGACCATAAGCGGCAGGAGACAATGGTCCGAAAGACCGTAATTGTAGGGTGGTACTCTGATAGAACTCTGGGCTGGCCCAACAGAAGTCCGGGCCTCAAGTGGTGGTCCGGCAGAAGTCCGGACCTTAGGTTGTGGTCCGGCAAAAGTTCAGGCCTCATATGGTGGTCTAGAAGAACTTTGGGCATCAGGTGGTGGTCTGGCAGAACTTTGGGCCTTAGGTGGTGGTCCGAGAGAAGTTCGGGCCTCAAGTGGTGGTTCGGCAGAAGTCTGGGCCTCAGGTGGTCCAACAAAACTCTGGGCGTCAGGTGGTGGTCCGGAAGAACTCCGGGTGTCAGGTGTTGTCCTGGTGGAGCTCGGGGACTTATTTGGTGGTCAGACGGAGCAACGACGTCAGTCGGTGGTCCGGTGGAGGTGAGGGCCTCAAGTGGTAGTCCGGCGGAGCTCAGGGCCTTAAGTGGTGGTCTGACGGAGCAACGACGTCAGGCGGTGGTTCGGACGTCGTTGCTCCGGTGGAGGTGAGGGCCTCAAGTGTTGGTCCAACAAAAGTCGGGTCAATTTTTGACTCCCCTAGTCCAAACCGTGTAAGGTGACTCTCTCTAATCTTATCTGCCACGAGAGCTACTCCAACCCTTTCACTTATATAATATATACTCATTTTGCATTATGTTTCTAAGAGTGAATCATAATTGTGTGATTTATTTATTTTAAAAAAATTTATACTAATTGTTAGTTATAGATAAATTGTTATTCTTTAGAGTGCATGTTAGATTTGTAGCATTTTCATTACTCGCCTCTTATCATTTGCATGACTTCTGATTTTCATTAGAACTTTTGTAGAACATTAACTGTTGAGGTACATGAAGTTTAAACTTGATGATAAAGTAATGATGAATTAAATTCGAAAATTCTTTTTTAAACTAAATGTGAGAAAGATAGGATTCTTTTAAATTTTGGAGCATATTTGAACTAATGCTTGCAAATTGAAATTTTTAGGGAATTATGATATTAATTAAGTCTTTGATGTATCTAATCTGACTTTATTTCATGAACCATTTGCTAGCTTATTGGATTCTTTTCTCTTTCCATCTCTTCATTGTTAAACTACTTCCAACATTGCCAATATGGCTTGTTCATGAAGCTATTTTGGATGATGAGATTTTGTCCATTGTTGATGATGGATTCTAGTAATATCTAGTGCATTGGTGTGGTAGACTTGCTTGTGCTAACTCATGGATTATTTTACAAGAAGCACATAATTAATGCCCTGATTTTCTTGATGAATATTAAATGCTAAATTTGTTAGAGAAGCCATTTTTTTTTCAAGCTAAGCACATTAACGTAGGACTTTAATTACGTAATGAATTCCTTTGTGAGGTTCAAGTTGGTTCTTATACAGTTCCTTGCATTTTTTTGGTACAACTTCTGTGAACTGTTTGTTTATCCAACTCTCCCAATACCTACTGAGAAATTCCTGCAGCTTGATTACAATGTACGGCTTTGCAGTAAATGTGGTTGTGTTTTTGCCTTCGGTTTATGTTTTTCTTAGCGCTTATATGAGTAATTTTTGTTGTTTGGTTCCTACGATTTGCATACAATTTTCTTTTTGTTGTGACTATGTGATATGTTCCAGCTATAATTTCAGCTGCGGTGGAAATATATATAATAATGGTTCTCCTCTTAATCTTATTTTTTTGTCTACTGTCTTATAGATCTTCAAACTCAAATTTAGATCATTGTCTTTTATATATGACACTTACATAGAGATCAAATTTGTTTCATCAAATTTGTAATAACTTAACCATTAATCATGTATGTGGCAAAATAAGAATAATCATTTGTTATGTATAAGCTCACTTTAAAATCTAATTTTACTCACATATTTCACCAATCAAAACTATCAGACATCCTTTGCTTATGAGAAAAATGTCAAATTAGTCCCTTAACTCTTTAAATGTGATTCAAAATAGTTCATTGAGTTCTCATATGTGATTCAATAATTCAATAGATGGACTATTTTGAGATTTCGTTTGGGACAGCTTCTTTGCTGCTTTCTATAACGGTTTTCTAATACAAAAAATTTTCGAATTAGAAATTTTTGTACTTAAAAGTAGTTTTATAAAGTAGCAAAAAAGTTATCCCAAACGAAGCCTGAATCACATTCGAGAAGTCAAATGAATAAATTGGATATATTAGATAGTTTGGACTAAAATGATCCCATATAAATAGAGATATGGCGTGTTCTGTCATTCTCTATGGGCAATTTTGACATTTGTTTTCTTTCTATATCATCAATAACCATGTTTCTCAATTCCATATTATTTGAAATAGTCTGTTGATTGAGAATATCGATTTTCATCTCATTCAATCAAAACAACCCAAAGATTTTTTATGCTTGCAATGGATAAACGATTTCTTAAAATTTTTAAAATTGTGTATGTCAATAGTTTCAATAATGTTAAAAAGAATGAATAATTGTGATCATATATTTGTACTTCATGAGATCAAAGTTGGGATGAGAAAGATCATTATTCTCTTTGTGAAGAAAGTCTCCTTTTATATATATATAATTGAGTTCAGCTTGCTCTGTTTGTTTGCAACTCATTTGCTAGTGAAACTTATGCACCTTCTTCAAACTCGGTTTGTTTGCTTATCAATGAAACCAAACTGGAACCATTTATTGAGTAGAAAATAATTTATTCATGAATATCAATCTGGATTGACGGCCCTGCTTGGGGAATGCTTCTGCTGCTGATCTTAAAACCAAATTAATTCCTTTAATTTGTTTGGTAAAGAATCTACTGGCACCTTAAAACAAACTGATGATTACACTTTGCTTAGTTGTCCCTGTCCAGTGCCTAGATGGTCGTCATCTAGAAGAGAAATTATTTTGTATGGACACCGGACGGAGAGAACCGTCAGGATTTATTGCGCTTTTGCCGCTCTTTTACTGCACTTTTGCAAAAGGTCAGTAAAAGGACAGCAAATATTTAATGTTTACTAAATAATTGATTATTTGTTGAGCTTTTGCAAAAGGACAGCAAAAATGCATTCATAATTGAATATCTGCTGCCCTTTTGCAAAAGCGTAGAAAATTGGCAGCAAAAGCACAACAAATCCGGACGGTTCTCTCTGTCCGGTGTCCGCACAGAATAATTTGTCCATCTGAAAGGCTCTGCCTCATGGTCCTCATGGAGACTGCCGTAATAGTGTAGATTGGCATTGTTGTGTTTTCCTTTTTTTCTTTCTTATGCATCTGAATTCCTTGGTTCGTTTCCTTTCTTTTTTAGAAAAGACTCATGAAATTTGCGGCAATCTTTGTTTCTGCAGTGTTATAAGCTGGATCTAAAATTGTTCCAACCATTTTTAGACCTATATATGAAGATCAGATAGCTTACCATTATTAAACGGAAATTCTTAATATTAGACTGCGTAAGAATTTCATTGCCCTATAAAGCCTAGGGATAATCTGTGATTTGGCATAAGTTGGCCTTATTGTCTTAAGACAAATTTTAGGGTTCGTTTGAGATGGCTTTCTTACTGCTTCTTAAAGCAGCTTTTGAGTACAAAAATTTGAACTTTTATATTAAAAAGTTGTTTTAAGAAGTAGTAAAAAAATCATCCCAAACGAAGCCTTAGTCCTACATAATTTATGCACCCTTATTTATAGAGATTCATATATATAAATGCTTAGTAGCTAAATGTTCCCCATGCAGCAGGTTTAGCAGATGAAGGGAGAGAAAGAGAAAGTCTAGAGCTGTCAATCCGGTGTGTAAGCTACTTGTTTACTTTTTCTCCCTGTTTTTCAACCTCATTTCTTTTTGTTCCTATGTTTTTTGTTTCTCCTTCCCAACTGGCAGAATAAAACGCATGGCAATTGCCGTGGGACCAAGTAGCTTCGCCTCTAGGAAGAAGAAGAATAAGAAGGGCTCGTCTTCAACTGTTCCAAATATGCATGGAGATGTGTAAGATGGGTAGGTAAGACTTTTTTGCTTTAAGTTGCTTTCTTGTAGTTACCAAATTTGACTGATACTTTTTTTACCAAGAAATTTTTGTGCTAAAGATTTTAGTATTTTGATTATTTTTAATAATTATAATGTTATATATAATATTTACAAAGTTCAGTATTGACCAATACCAATAAATGCTAACTATAATATTAATCAGCCCACTAAAAAAACTTGGTTAGTGTGAGAGTTCATATTGTGAATACCTATGCTTTTTATTCTCGTAAGGCTTTTTTTTTTCTTGAGAACGGAGTATCTACTCACTGTCACCCCCCTAGAAGGCTTGGCGGCGTAATTAATCCCTCGGCGAGTATACCAACCCCACATGTGCAGGACTCTCAGTTATTTTCTCCTCACTTAAGAGGTCGCGCTGCATGAGAGGGGATTCGAACATGGGTTGGGAGGTTCCAAACATGCTCGTCCACCAACCCAGCTAAGCTTGGTGGGGTTTTTTATAGGCTTATTAGAGACAACTAGTTTTTTAGTGTAAAATTTTTTGAATTATAAAATTTTGTACTACAAAGCTATTTCATAAAGAAGTAAGAAAGCTATCCTAAACGAAGTCTTAATTTATTTGTTAAGTTTTTGAAAATCATATATCTTTAAAATATAATGTGAAATAAAATTGTGTTTACTAGATTTTTTGGCATTAAAAAAATAAAATGGAGTTAAATCTATATATTAGTTTAATATAATATAGTGATAATTTATTGAACTATTGTTGATGTTGAAATTTAGATGCTAGATTTAATGAATCAAAGTAATATTTTAAAGATAGTGGTGAATCATTCCTGCTAATTATATGATTTTACAAATTATAAAAACAAATATTAATAATCAAACAGCCACTAAATACTGAGTGTATTTTGATTTGAACTATCATTTAACCTGGTCTTTTTCCACTACATTTCAATACAAGTAAAAATGGCCCTTGTTAAATTCATATATAATTTAGCCTTTTTTTTCCCATAAAACAGGTCGAGTTTCCATAATATTAATCATTAGTTTGAAAATTATTGAATTTATTATAGCTAATTTTAAAAATAATTTTAATAATTTATAAGCACAAAGTTTCTCCTACCTAATGCAGCAATCCCATTATTTTAAATTTGTAATCACTTATGGTCTAACATCTTTCTATTCAAGGTTGTTGGGAATCGACTATTCATGGCTGGTACAATGTGGGCCCATTAATAAGCAATGTGGGCTCCACAGTAAAATCGTGATGTCCTTTACCAACAACTGATGGGCTAGCCAAACTAATAGGTGCGGCAGTATAAAGAAGCAAGTAAACTGGTGAGTCACCTACTCCCTCCTACCGCCTCTACTATATATTAAACTTACCTCTCTCAAAATTCCGTGCACCGTTTTTATTTATTTATTTATTTATTTTTATGAGGTTGAGCGAGTAAATCACAAATAAAGATAAAAGAGTTAAGGGCATCTCCAACGGAGAACTCCATTTTTCACGGTAAAATTTTAAAATGCTGTGGTGCTGCTCCAATCATCATTTTATGTGTTTTTGCGAAGGTAATGATCTTTTCACGTGTTTTTTCGATTGAGAAAGCAAAATAGCGTGGGTGAACAGTGCAACGCTAATATTAGCGTCGCACTGTTCAACGGCGAGTAAATGGCGGAAGATTTTGTGTTCAGCTGGAGCGATCGAATGATGTCATACGCTCGTTTGGCGTTCGGTTGGAGATGCTCTTAGAAGTTAGAGAAGTCAAATGCGGGCCACCACGGTTAACGCCCAATCCTTCGACTATAGGGCTAGTATTTCTATATAAAAAGCCCAATAACTTTTATTAGAAGATATAGATACTCAGATGCATTATAATTTTTAGATTACAAGCTGCAGTAGCACATATTATTGCTCTATTTATTAATCTATGTGCAGCTCCCTTGAATCTTAGGCTTCGCTTGGGATGGATTTTTTAATATTTTTTGAAGCAGTTTTTTAATATAAAAATTAAACTTTGATACTAATAAATAGTAAGAAAGTCGTCCCAATATCAGGAATTTATTCTATCATATTTCGTATATAATATTGTCATATCATTTTTGTAAATATCTAAACTTCTAATATTAGTAAGACTTGTAATTCTCACCTTGTATTTTATAAAATAGGAGGTTTTCAGGTTATCTAGTCCTCTCATGGTCTCATTTTTTATGTACGCTTAAAACTTTTAGTTGTTTAGGTTCGACAGAGTTTAAAAAGCTTGAGTTATATATATATATATATTGAGTTGAAGAATTATAAACTTCTTGAAAGTAGAATTTCATATTTATAATCGATAGATCTCCAAATGGAAATTTTATTGCCTCAGGTTACCTGACGTAGAGATACATCAGGTAGCCTATAGTATATCGCCACGTGCTCTTACTCTTTACCGCGCGGCCCGACGACCCAACACGGAACGAATATTGCTCAGTATTGAACATATATCGCCAAAGAACTCGGTATTGCTCGGTATTGAGCTCGGTATTGCTCGGTATTGAACTCGGTATTGCTCGTTTTTGCTCGGTATTGGTCTTCACATAATAGTACTTTTCATTTTTGTCGAGTAAAATCGACCAATATCTAGCAATACCGAGCTACGCAAACTCCCGGGTCTGTTTCGAGTTGGGTCGTCGGGCCGCGCGGTAAAAAGTAAGAGCACATGGCGATATATTATAGGCTACCTGATGTATCTCTACGTCTGGTAACCTGAGGCAATAAAATTTGCTCCAAATGATTCATTTGATGAGCATGGATTTTGATTTAATATTTGAATAAAAAATTGAGATTAAATTCAAGATCATACAAATTCTAATTTAAATTTTTAACAAATTGATACTTGACCTAAATGTCTAGATGAGATGAATCCATCGGTGCGGCAAATAATTTGATGAAAGACTAAGCGAACCAAATCAAGCATTTGAAGTACATTTTTTATGAAAAAGTTGACATTAATTGAATGATCGAATATTTTCTAAATTTTCATTATTTTTTAGAATTAAATTGAATGACTTGACCAGATGAATCCAACAAGATCAAGATCATCCAATTTCAACGTCATTAAAGCATTTAAATGTTAGATAAATAATTTAGAATCAAGAGGATCAATATTGAGTGTTTTGAATATGATTAAATTTATCAAAATGTTTTTCTCAATAAGGTTATAAATAAAGTTCAATTTTTTTATGTGAATAGCCTATTCTAGAGATAAGAGAGCTGAATATTTTTTTTTTATAATTTCCAACAATCGTTGTCTATATCACATGAATTCTATAATTCAACTATTGATGCTTGATTACCAAAATTCAACCTGGTTATTGGACTTTAATTATTTAAATGTGGACACTCAATTTTTATAATCTCGATAATTGAAATTAAATTAGTATTCTTCATTGTGTAAGTTATTTGCTTCAATTATGTACAAAAATGAATTTTGTGCCTACAATGAATTCTAATAATAAATTTAAATGACTAAAAAAATATATTTATCTGTTTATTTATATTCAAATTAAGCACGATCAATCGTACTTTGGCCTAGTTAAATTGATTTGAAATTAATATATATATATATATATCCTAATATATGACTAATTTTAAAATTAATGTAATATTTTTTTAATATTATATTAATTTAAAATTTTATTTTTTAAATTTCATCTTAATACTATTTTTATCATAATGTTCTTGCATATATTTTTTTTCATTAATAATAATAATCAAAAGCATTTTTTTTTCTTTTTCAATTTTCTTCTACATCGGCAATCCAGTTTTGACTAATGTGCCCAAAAGCATTATTTATTTTAGGCCATAAATAAACATAGAATGTTTGACAAATTTTTAGACTATTGAAATAAAAATGGAAAGATTCAAACCTCATTTTTATTTCAGACGATGTGATTGTTATCAATTATTTCAAACTTCGTGATTAATTGTACGAACAGTGCAGCTGTTAGTGAGGATCATAATTAGGGGTGTCAATATTTGTCACGATCCGAAAATTTTAGATTAGTGTCAACTCGTTTGTGAAACATGCCATATTCGAATTCAACAAACCGACCAGTTTCAAAAATAGGGTCGGGTTCGGTTTGACCCAGAAATTGGGTCGGGAATCCCACGGCTGACCGCGTATCGTGCTCGTGCGTTTGCTCGCGTTGCCTGCTTGAGTCGCCCACCGGTGAGTCTGCATGGGTTGTCCAATCGAGCTTGCCCGAGTCGCCCGCCTGCACGTCTGCCAGCTTCGCATACTCGCGTAGCGCTGTCGCTCGCTTGCGAGTCTACCAGCATTGCCGCTCACCCGCTTGTGCATCACTTCAGAAGCCGTTGTCGTGTCACTGCCTTACAGGTCGGATCGAGTTGACCCGAACTAGAAGCGGATTGGGTTCGGGTCCAAAAAATTGACCCGTTTGCAAAAAAAATGAGTTCGGGTTGACCCGAATAGTTTCAGGTTCGACTCGAACCCGATCCATGACCCAATTTTGATGGCCCTAATCATAATGCATATAAAGCTCTTACAAACATATATGACTTAGGCTTTATTTGGGATAGTTTTTTTTTTTTAATAATTCTAAAAGTAGTTTTTTGATTATTTGTTTTCAATTAATTTTTTTTTAATTAAAAAATTACTTTAGAAAGATATAAAAAAGCTATTTCAAATGAAGTTTTAAAATCATCTTAGAGAATTAGATAAGACTTTGTTTGGAAAGTTCGTCTTCTTTCTTCTAAAGCGACTTTTTAATAAAAAATTTATAGTTTGAGAATTTTTACTATTAAAATACTTATTTAGAAAGTAATAAAAACTCTGTTTCAAATGAAACATACAACTCTGTTCAACTATTTGTTTTCCTTTTGTCATTTGTGGTTGCATTGGAAATCAGACTTGGTTATTTTCTTAAATATTTATGCAATATATTTTACTACAAATTATGTTAGAATGGATTTTAAATTTATTCTAAGATTATTATGATATAATTTTTTAATGCATAATACGAATTTCATACCAAATATAATAATTTTAAAGCTCATTTTTATATAATTTATTTAAGAGTATTTTATCATTTGTTTTCATAAAAATAATAACAACAACATCAATTATTTATGAATTGATTACATAAATCTTTTTTTTCTAGTGCCCGCATAAAATTTTATTTCATTTACCCTTAAATTTTTTATGATAGTAAAGTGAATAAAATTATGCTCCTCAAAGAAATATATATTTAAAAAAAAAAATCTATTTAAATAAAATTTATCAATTCTCATAAATCACACCAAATGATTAAAAATTTAGGAGCAAAAAATGTATATATAGGAAAGAGTCTCAAGATTACTATTTTGCACACTTAAAATCCTAACAATTTAATACATTATTTATTAAAAATTAGATTGCTTCCTAATGCATTATATATTTGCTCTTTTTTATTAATTATATGTTAATTTTATATTAAGAATTTAATTAAATAAAACACTAATGAATGCAAAGTATCAATAAACTTGGAAAGCAAATCTGCATAATAGAATATGTCGCCTAAGTAACAAGTTGTTGAAAATTCGATCTTGATTAGGTGATTTGGTTTCAAATTTGGTTGATTTAAAACCGATTTAAATAAAATATCATTTATTTATTTGATTTATGCTAATAATAAAAAATTGGTCTTATATCAAATGAGTTTGGGACGTAGTTCTCTTTGATCTGTTGGTTGGGTTTTGTCTTTGAATCTAGCCTATGTGAGTCAGGGGCGGAATCAACCTTAGTTCTCGGAGGAGTGACAAGTGATAAACTTATAAAAATATATATAAGTGTGCAAAAATAATTTCTTTTACACATTTTTTTTTTTTTGGAAAATTTGGGCTTAGCCATATATTAGCAACAAAATTACATCATGAAATTAAAAGAACAACAAAATTTGGCCAAACAAATAAAGCCATAGCTCAAACAAGCTCAAAAATACACAGCAAATACAAGCTGCACAAAAAGGAATTAACCAAAACCAATAAACAGAAACAAGCTCCCAAGCCCAACAGCCTGGACTCAGATAAACTAACAAAAATTCAGAACAGTCACAAATTTCTGGTTGCCCGAAGACCGTCCAAGGGGCCTGCAATGGGAGCTTCATCATTGTCCAAACTTGGCAAAATATACAGGCATATCGAAGGAACGAAGGGACAGAAGTAATGAAGGGACCCGAAAAATAGAAGTCAAACAGGACATAATTATTTTTCACAGATTTATTTGTTAGCATTAAAAAATTTTAATATAATTGAATAAAAATAAGAGAAGTCCCACAGGCTTTTCAATTTTGGTCCGCTGGGTTAAAAAAAATTTCGGTGGGGAGGGGCCTGTGTGGGTTGAACTTTTATTACGTCCGGTGTAAGGACGTAGAGGAACGTCCGGTTGGAGGCAAAATTCCGCCAAAAAACTCGGTATTTGCTTGGTACAACTAGGTATTATTTGATATTAATGAGGAATACCGCTCTTTGAAGACCAATACCGAGTTATACCGAGCTGTACCGAGAAATACCAAGTTGTACCGAGGAAAAACTCGGTACAAATTTTGTATAACTCGGTATTTCTCGATTTAGCTCGATATAACTCGGTATTAGGTCTTCAAATGATAGTATTCCTCATTATTATTTGATATTGCTCGATATTTACTCGGTACAACTCATTTTTTGACGGAATTTGACCTCCGGACTCTCCTCTTCCGTCGGGTAAGTAATAATTGTTCGCGTGGGCTACACTATATTTTCGCAAGAAAAAAAAAATCTGAAAAAGTGTGTATTGATTCTACTATTTAGTATTTTCATAGATAAAAGGCGGGCCGCGCCGTGGTTTGCCTACCTACCGAACTCCGCCCACTGCGATTCGACCCACCGCTCTCTACCTCTATCTCACAACTTCCTGTCCTTTTTAGGGAACTTGGAGATCGAGGCGAGTAAGGCGAGAGAGATGGGCAGCGGAGAAGAGAACGCGAAGGTATACTACTCCCTTTCGGAGGTTGCGAAACACAGTTCCCGGGAGGATTGCTGGCTCATCATCAATGGCAAGGTATTCGACGTTCCATCTTTGGCCCAGATCTGATCAACTTATCATTTTCTTAATCAATCTCTTTCATGAAGTTCGCTCTTTTGCTAAGATTACGTTTTTGCTTCGCGCGTTTTGCATTTTGATGCCGATCGGGTTTCGACGTTAAGGCGATGGCATGCAGCGATCCTCCTTTCAGTAAATTTTAATTCATTTACCCTAAATTTTAATTCATATACAGTACTCGAAAATGCATTCCATGTGTGTCTTCTTCTTGGTTTGTGGATCAACTGGGATTTCAGTCATCATCATCATCATCATCTCATTAACAGTATCCCAGCTATTTGGGGTAGTTTGTCAAGCTAAGCAAGCTATATGGATTTTTCGATCTGTTGGCTAAAAGCTCTATTCCATTACCCTTTTGTTCTTCGACGAATGAAATCTCTAGAATGAACAGAAGCAGTGATGGAAAACCCTGGGTGGGGTGATCTGATTGCCCTAGGTGTTCTTGCTGTTGAAGCGTGCAGATAAAGTATTTTTTAGGTCTGTTTTTCTCTTATTCCTGTTAAGAGGCTGTTTGGTATCCTATTTTTGGCTTGATTCAAGCAAGATTTAGCTTAATTCTTGCCGAGCAGAATTCTGGGGAATTAAATCCTACGATTTTGAAAACTATATTCAGCCTTATTATCGGTTAAATCTTAGATTTGTTAAATTCCCCCATTCATAAGATTTGTGGGATTTAAAGAATTCTCCATGTCACAAATCTTAAACAAATACAGAAAAAGTAGCAGGCTTTAACAAGATTTAACAGTTGTCACGTCTAACAATTTTCATATTTAACTCTCTCAAGATTTATTAAACTTGGATTATGTAAATCCTACTTTAGTTAAATCTTACTTGTAGCCAAACGGTCCCCCTAGCCTACTATAACTAAAGATACGATATTCTTAGATTCCGTCTTTGACTAATGATTCCTTTTTACTTTTGGATCTGTTTTTCTCTGGTCCTTCGCTAGTATTCTTAAACTGATGGGCCCTTTGATGACTTGATTTATGGGCAAGATGCTTTTTTTAGGTCATTTCGGTAAAATAAAAGAAAATACACCATTGTTTTTCCTGGTTTTCTACTCTTGCGTTGGAACTTTTATTTGGTCTGATCACATGACGTAGCTCTACGTTCGGCCGCCAGTAGAATCGCGCCACGTGTTCTCATTATTTACCGCGCGCCCCGACATCCTGATCTAGAACAGACCTAGGATGGCTTGGTATTTCTCGATTTTGCTCGGTATTGCTCGATATTGGTCGATTTTGCTCGGCAATAGCCAATACCGAGAGCAAATACCGAGCAAATACCGAGTTGTACCGAGTTTTTTAGAAAAACTCGGTACAACTCGGTATTGCTCGGTATTGGTCTTCACAGAGCGGTATTTCTCGTTATTGCCAAGCAATATCGAGCAAATACTGAGTAATACCGAGCAATACGCGAACATAGCAATCCCGGGTTCCGGTCCGGGTCAAGTCATCGGACCGCGCAGTAAAGAGTAAGAGCACGTGGCGACATGTTATTGGCGGCCGAACGTAGCTCTACGTCCAGTCAGAGGACGTAATAATTGTTCCTTGCGTTGTGCTTTCATATTTTAATAGTTTTTTATCAGTTGGGGAAAAAATGAGAACACCAGGAAGGCTTCTTATTAAGCTGAAAAATAAGAAACATAGACATCACACTAGAAGATATGCAATAGAGGGAAGGTGGAGCTTTGCTTATGATATATGCATATCACAATTCAAATATCAGGCATGTCTCTAACGTGGGATGGCTAATCCAAATACTTCAAAGCAGCTCAAAGTATCATCATAAGAGTTATTATGCTACTGCCTGCCAAAGATATCATCAGTTCATTATAATTTTTTTAGCAAGGTCTAGATTTTCTTGCAGAGCTTCTGGTACATATTCTTTTGTATTTGCTTCTTATGCAAACTTGATACAGGTTTTTAGGATTGAATAGTAAATCTGACCGAATGTTTCTTCAAAATTGATGATGGTATAGACTTTCCTAACGTATAATAATAATCCCTAAGATGAATCCTTCCCAAGCCCACTAACCCACTTGATCATATTGCTTCAATGTTGTCATGCTTATCTGACAATCTTCAAGATAGCAAATTCATCATGGAGAAACACCTACGTTAGAGAAGTTGGACGATCTTTATTTGGATTCATCATGTTAAAAGGAAAAAAGGTTTTTTTATGACTAGCACAGTAGCACTCACTAGGCTGGGCTTGATGATAAATGTTGACCTTTAGATCCCTCGAGTATTAGCTAACTTCACAAAGTTTTTAGCCATGAACAATGTTATTTAAACTTGATGAAACTTCAAAGTTGCCGTTGATAAAGTGTTTCATTTAAGCTATTGTGTGCTTAGATTTTTTTGGTAGGGAAAAAAAAAAACAGTATACATGGCTTGACCATCACCTGTTTCTTAACAGATGTGAGAAATCTATTCAAGATAAAGCAATTCAATTTAGGAAGCTTGTGTTGCTTTTATGTTTTTTTTTTTTTTTTTGACATTTAGGTCAATTAAGGCAAACTCACGCACACATCACATAAATAAGACTCGAACGAAAGACCTCTTAATTGATAGCCCAGGTTCCCAACCAACAGACCTCTTAATTAATAGTTTGTATTTAATTCACTTTTTTTTCTTTATAAATAAATCTTCATTTAAGAGATAGATGAGGCTTCGTTTTTTAAGGCAAGTTGGCAATGTTCATTGTTCAAACAAGATTAGGAAAACCATGCACAGGCTTTGTTTTTTGTGGCAAGTTTCATTATATTTACTGCGAACTTACCTGCTTATTTGTGAATGCGTAGGTCCTTGTTTGAATGCTTTCATGTCTGATCGTTAATGTGAATGTATTGGTATCTTAACATAACAATTTGGTCTGTAGCTTTCCATTCTAGTTTTGCTATTTTATGCTTTATATGTATTAATGGGAAATCAACCACCTTTTCCTGTTCGAGAAAACATATTGAAGTGGATAACTATTCTTTAATGTCATAAATATTCTTTTTTTGGACGTAGAACTTAGTGGATTCCTTTCAATGCACTTAATGATGCTTTTCAATGCACATTCAATTGGATGTAAGACACGAATCTATGATGAAACTTATTAGAGACATTGAAAGATGAAAGATACCTCTTCTCTTCTTCTGAGAGTGTCAGAGAGCCGTGTAAAACAACTGGTTCTTTAGGTATTTCCATTGTTTTCACTAATTTCTTTTCTTGTACTCTCCAAATCGCTCCATCTTGTACTTTTCCCACCATATTTCATTGATAATCTCTATCACTAATATATTTAACCATAATTCTTATCAATTCGACCAAAGATATGTAAGTTTGCACATTAGAGTTCACCAAACCATTTGTCAACTGTCCAAGATTTATCCAAACATGGGGAAATTGCCCAGTAAAAGGACTACTTCACCTTAATCTAAGACAGGAACTTGAGCATGATAAGTGCACTGATAAGATCGTGTTATTATACCACGAAATTTTAAGATTGAAGATTATTTGTTATTGCCTTCTAAACAAATAGCTAGTTTCTGCAGTACATATTTCCTTGATTAAATCCCTATATCTGACTTTGAAAGCCAGAGCAGCTATACCAAGCTCACACTCATAAAATTGTTAAAGCATTTATTCATCCTAAAATAGGGAGAAAGAGTAGCAATTAACCGAAAAAAAAGTATCATTCGATAACTTGTGATCCTCTCTCCTAGAAAACCCTTCATGAATTTATGTTGATAATAAACCTCTTGTCATGGATTAATTATTTTGTGCGGATGCCGAATGCAGTCTGGAGACCAATCAGAATGTGTCACGTCATCTCTTCGCTCGAGACCGCTGCTCGATACCGCTAACATGAATTTGTGCTGATAATAAACCTCTTGTCATGAGGGATGATAAAGTGATTCGCCTGTAGTTTTGTATACTTTATCAAAAAGGATGTTTTTTCTGCCGTTGTCAAGTCCCAAGTCTTTAGATGAGAAAAGTGAAGGGTTGTGTTAGGTAGTTGACAGCCAGCGAAAAACTTGTCGAATAATCATGACATAAAGTTTCCCACGTAGTGGGATAAAAGCTTGATGTTGTTGTTAAGCAACGATATATTCCCTTGATCCTTAGGTTTTTAATTCTTTCCTCAACAAAAAAACATAATTGCAGACAAATTTTCTGCCTTGAATTATGTTTTTATCCCTTGCTCAAACCAGTTAAGCTCCATGGTTTCATTCTTCACCAAAATCATCACACAAACTTTTGTGACACATCCTCTCAGGTCTATAATGTGGCTAAATTTCTGGAAGATCATCCGGGGGGAGATGAGGTATTGTTAGCAGTAACTGGTAAGTTAAATTTTGAAAGAGCATATAATATTAAAGCTTCGTTTGGGACGGCTTTCTGGATGCTTCGTAAAGCAGCTTTTTAGTTAAAAAAAATAAATTTTTTACTAGAAAGCTGCTTTAAGAAGCATCAAAAAAATCGTCTCAAACGAAGTCTAAATTTATAACAATCCAGACATCTTAAAATGTGGCATGGTTCCCTGGCCTTACAGGTAAGGATGCAACTGATGATTTTGAGGATGTTGGGCATAGCTCAACTGCAAGGGCTATGATGGATGAATATTATGTTGGTGAGATTGATGTGTCCACAATTCCAACAAAGGTCAAATATTCGCCTCCAAAGCAACCTTACTACAATCAAGACAAGACCTCGGATTTCATAATCAAAATTCTCCAGTTTTTGGTTCCATTAGCAATACTGGGATTGGCTGTTATAGTAAGGATCTACACAAAAACAGCCTAGAATCAGATTGAATTTGTATCTGTTAAGAGGATAATCTGTCTTATTACCTTATGATTTCATTTTCATTCCTGCCTGATGAGGCTTGTTTCCAATTTCATATTTCAATGTGAACTCCCCTTAGAAAACTGCATTTTTAGCTTCCTATTGGAACTTCTATGGTTCTTCAAAGGTATCTTTGTATGCATTTCGTTCTTTACAGTATTCTTCTTCAACTGCTTTGGTTTTAAGGATGTTTTGGCAAAAGCATTAGGAGTTTTTTGCATTTCATTTCATTGTTCTCGATCTCCTGTTACGTAGCATTTGAGATAAGAGTGCTTGAAATGTATCCTAATAACAAAATAATAATAATTCTTCTAAATAAATATTTGTATTTTTAAATACATATATTTCAATTACTTTATATGTTAAAAATATTTAACCAAACAGCCCATTAGTCCCTTTCTGCTGAGACATTGAAAAAAAAAAAAAAAAACTCATAACTTCTAAATTATAATACAAAAGTGTATTCTGATGAAAAAATTATCATAAATGAATTCCCTATAGATTTATGTTCAAACTCGCAGACTTACCAGAATGGCTATATTCCCCTGATCGTCGCAAAACCTTTCTTTGTCCAAGACAATAAACCCACGTAGTTGCATGGATCCAACCATCCTCACAGCTAAGCACCAAATAACTCGACAAAATTAAATAATAATAATAATAATAATAATCAATAACATAACATATGCCAAGGTTAGAATTTGGAAGAAAAAGCAGAGGCAACAGTAACAATTCCTCCATAATTTCAAGAAGAGAAACTTCACAAGGGGAGTGAAGGTTGTATATTGACAAGGTCGCATCAACTTCTCTTGTTTGGTGGCATCTAATTCATTAATTCTGATATTGCCTCTCAATGGGATAATTGTGATTCTGAAAACATTACTGATTGCACGACTTTTTGAATCTTGATCGATTCTTTCCAAGTGTTCATAATCCAGCCTGATTGGTTTAGGAGAAATAGTCATAAGTTCATCACTAGACCAAAAGCCATATGGCTGAAATGTTGGAGCAGTAGGTAAATTATGGTCCTCCTCGGGGGCGGATGCAGCCTTAATTTTTAGGGTGGACAAACTTATTATATAAAAAAGAAGACGTTGAATGGCCGAAGGCGTTGAAGGCTCGGAAGACGCCGAAGAGCGAAGCTGCAAATCACAAACCTTAGCGTGCGGCGTGCCGCCCATGCAAAGCCAGAAGTTTGGATGGAAAAGGGGCAGGCGGATCTTAGAGCAAAAAATATTTTTTAGAGGTGGCAAAATTTCAAAATGCCCACCCTGGCTCATATGAGGATCCGCCCTTGGTCCTCCTCCACATTGATATAATTGTTATTGGGTTCCAATAACTCGACCAATATTCTCAGCTGTTGTAAACTAAGCATAAATTCAAAGAGAGCTTGAACCATTGCTAATTCAAAGTCTTTCACTTCCAACATCTCGATCTAAAATTGAACAGTAAAGTTTCTTAATGATTCACCTTGCTCCTCCATCATAATAAAAGAGCTTGAGATTTATTTATTCATTAGTTTCTTGGGGCGCCAACAAATTGAGTCATAAATAGTTTCTTTGATCACTGAGTGTGAGGTAATGCTCTTCAATGGAAGACATGATAACCATCTCAATGGTGCCTCCTTGAAAGTAGTAAAAAACAAACCACACTTGAGCACCTCATTGATATAAAGGAGAGAAATAATTGACTCAAAATAAGCGACATGGTCGACGAGATTCTACCTCCGTCCAATGAATTCAAGTTGGAGATCTTGAACTTTGATGGAGCTTGCACTTTTGCAATCTTCACAGAGAAGGCCTTTAATGGCTGAGGTCTTTGATTCATAAGATGATGGATAAATGAGTCTCGTCAATAATTTCTTTGGAAAGGTAAGTCTCGCCAATTGTCAGTTAGTGGATAATCTTGGCACATTGATATTTAATTGAAAGATGATTTTTGCATACAAATAAGAGAACCAAAATATCCTTCTTCTATAACAGTTTCAACTCGCAAAGCAGTTCTTGACATCTGCTTGAGAATTCCTTGAATTATTCTCATCAAGCGATCCTCCATTTGATTCAAATGTCCAATGTAAATAAAATCATGTTGCTCTACTTGTGTATCTCTCTCCTTTTCATCAAAAAAAAAAAAAAGGTTTGTAAACTATTTAACAACTAGCCTTAATCGAAAGTTCTTTCTCGCTATCATGAAGGGCAATTAACTATAGAGGCTTGCGCCTATAAAAAATCAGAACTCATATTATAAAGTTCTAGCAAATTGAGGGTGAAATCTCTGGGTAGTGTCTTATCTCAAATCCTATCTGTCTTCTGAAAATTTACCCGTGAACCTAAACTCGTTAAAATTCTCACCGTCAACAACAAGAAGAGATGGCGTGGAGAGACCGGTGCACGAAATGTTTGGAGCCCATAGAAATGAGTAGAATATATAACAAAAAGAAATGAAATAAGCAAAATTAATTCTTGAAAAAGGGGATTCTCGCCCAGAAACTATTATGGTCTTATGCTTGATATAAGATCCAAATCTCAAAACAACGAAAAAAGAAAGATCTTCACATCTGGTTAAAAAAATGTCAAAAAGTTTATTAGAACCTCAGAATTCTCTTAAAGATGAAAATAAAGGTTCCTAAAAAGCAACTAATGAATTGCTAATACATTGTTAATAGTGACTTAAAAATTGATGATTAAGAACTAGATTAAAATAACTTTGCCAAAGTAGGAAAACTAAAATATTCATGACAGCTAAAAATTAAAAACATATCTTTCCGCATCAACTTTTGCAATGGAAGAAAATTATAAACAACATACAGAGTAGCTACCGTACCGTATCTCAAGTAATTACATGTACGGTAGACTTGCTGCAGCATCTGCTAGGGAACTAGTTGTTGTCGCTCACCTCATATATAAACTCCCAGGCTACAAAGCATGATAATTAGTACAAGCTTAGAAGAAACGAGTAAAACAAGATGATTCAAGCATTCCAGTTCAATTTTGTAGAAATTCAGACCACCAAACATACAAGAAGCACAAGACAGTACTAACCTGGAAAGCAAGAACAATGACACCACTAGCTAACTGGACCTAGACATAGAAATGAAATATATAAAATAATGTACGAGATTAACTTGTTTGTTTTATTATAGATTTTCTTTACTGTTAGAATAGTAAAACTAGGAACAGAAATAGCAACATAAGAAAATGTAAGGACACAAAAAATAACGATCATGTAAATTGTTAATGAGCACGGGAATGTATACATGAAAAAATATTTTGGAGTTCACGATACCTTCTCAGAGACAGCATGATCTGGTATAGCATGAATTTTTTTTTACACGAGTTAACCCTAATACTTTGGTCTACTGGAGAAATTATTCCGTGCGGAGTCCGGATGGTAAAGAACTGTCCGGATGTGAGTGTACATAGTTTTTGCACACATTATGTATAAAAAAAATCAAATTATGTACAAAATTATACTCAGTGTATACTCACATCCGGATGGTTCTTTACCGTCTGGACTCCGCACAGAATAATTTCTCGGTCTAATGACATCCAATCTCTGGCATCAAGTTGCATACTCTTTTTAACCAACCATTGGTCAAATCACAGAGCAAGTGGATTTTTAATTCTGTACACCAAATTATTTGGGATAAACCTTATTAATCCTTCTTTTCAATTTGTTTCTTAGAGTATTGCACTCATAGTTACCTCCACTTTATACAATGTTTTTTCATAATTACTACGAAGTCTGGCTCATAAAAGTTTATGACATGGCATGTTCACCTTCATGGTCCTTTACATGCGACATTTTATATATAACTAGCTAAAAGTGTTTGTGGAATGCCAAATGACGACCATTGTTTAGACACAAAAGCATCCGCCAACGTAAAGAATAATATGTTGATTGTGAAGTATTTGCTCAGTAATACTTGTGCTCGTGACAATCTTTCCTATATTTGGCATACATCAACTATTTTGAAATGGAATGTCAACTTGTTTAGTAATAGCTATTTTCTTCAGACGTTTGCCTCATTCTTATATTTTATTTAAGGTAAGAAGATAAAAATGAATAGGCAACAATTCCATACATAAACTCTACCCTTACTCACATAACACCACAATTTACTGATGGAAATACAATTTCTCTATAAGGTAGACCTTGGCAAGCTGTTGACATTAACTTTACTCTATGGATTGATTAATTCATCTTTTCCTTGGGACTTGATTAATCACGCAATATCAAACAAGAGACTAAAAAGAAACCTTAGTATATCTTCCCATACTTTCAAGGCTTCGCTAAAGAATGTGTGCAACCTGATTACTTTCAAGGCTTTTTTCAACCATCAACAGTCCTCAAGGAGAATTCAACCGTCTGGTTCGTTATTCATTAGTTACAACATGCAGCTTTATTGAAAAAGAAAAAATAGTATAATGGAGTTAAAAAAAGTTAGAAATAAGCACAATTTATTGCATGCTTTAAACTATAGAGCAGTAGAAAACACATTTCTGCTGAATAGCAATGTCATTTCAAAAATAAAAAAAGATTACACATAGCATGTCATGCCACACAATTTGGAGCATGGCAAAATTAATTAAAGTAGCCACATTTAGCCAATTTCCATACTAGCCAAACAATATTAGATTGGTGGTGAAATATAGCCCTAGATAGAAATAGGAGTACAATCATGCCAAATTCCCGTTATCTCTTATGGCTAACCTAAGATTTTCCAATTACGACCGAAGAGCCTCATTAATAGCCCTCGTCTATGAGATTACAATCATTCTTTTGAGTTAACTTCCACTACAATTATTACACAAAAAGCATTTATCTTGTAGGCTTATAAGCAAGTGTGAAATGTGTGCTAACATCAATAATCGAATATATATATTGCACGTCAAAGGCCTCTTAATGTAAAAAAAGGGTTCCATAAGATTATAATTATTTTAACCAGACAAAAGAAAATATTCCCACCCATTTTCACCCATCCACCCTTTTTCTTTTTCTATTTTTTTCAGTTTATTTGAATCCTTTTAGAGGAGAAGGGCAATATCATCCAATCACAATCGATGGCCCATCTGTTTATATTTCATCAGGGCATCCATATGCTCCATCATCAACTTTGCAGAGCAATATAACATTCAAAACAATTCAAACATTTTAAATTTGAAAAGAAGGCTTGCACCAATTCCTGAAAAATCTTATCTGAATTTTGAAGGAAAAAAATATTTCTTTTTCACACTAGTACAGAAAAAAAAAGTGAAGAAAAAAAAAATCAGTCATACTTAGAGGTTTTTTTTATTTGTTATAAAGCAAATGCAATTTAAAATAAGTTAGAGATTGATTTGTTGAGTGAAATTAATGTAAAGTATTTGCAAGTAAATTTAGTTTTTTTTTTTTTTAAAGTTTGGTTTGAAGTAAAGTTAGTAAAATTACTTTGTCATATTTCCATCACAAATATTAGTAAAATCTCAAGTAAATGGAGCCAAATTCAGAACATTTATTTTGCATGTATTTACTTCATGTTACATTCCAAGTACACGAAAGTAAAAAACCCCTTCACTAATTGGGTGAATGCATTTCAGATACACATATTTCAAATATAAAATATTATGTAAATGTAGTTTATTTTGTTTTTTACGAAGCTACCTAGTTAGATGCAAAACAAATACAATAAATCTATTTCCTTTTTCTATGATAGGATGCCGAAAAAAATTAGCTAAGATCGACAACCTCCACAACTATCAAAGTCACACCTGCCTAATCCAACCACCATGAACCTCTTCCTTGAGAAAACCGACATAACTTCCAAATCTCTTCCTCGTCTATCACCAGCCTCTATCTCTACCTCCTCTCCACCTCAACTACTGCACTAACCCATCTCACCATCATAACCTCCTCCCCGATCACTATCAGTGATGCAAGGAAGCAAAAAGTTCAATCAATAGATTAATCACAAATGCCCACCATCAAAAATAAAAAAATTGTAGTTTATAATTTTTATGTTAGATCCATGTAATCTTCATATATTTTCATGTGCAAGGGAGGCCATTCATACATGTCTTTGGAGGGAGTTTTTCAAATGTAGAACCTGCTTTTGGAAACTAGTCAAACACCCCAAATTGAAGACGTGTAATTGCAATCAAGGATTTAGGGAATTTATCATGATTTAAGTGGTTTGCAATAAGTTTCAAAATAAAGTGCCTTGAAGAGGTTGCCAACAATAGTTTCAGACGGAACTTCGTGGAGAGAATTTCAATGTATTTTCTTGTGTGTTTTCCAGATTGTTTAGTCAAATAGGATGGTAAGGAAGATGGAGGTTGATGTGAAGGTAAAATCAGATGAGGTGGAGGTTTAGGGTTATTTAAATGGGTGTAAAATATTTTTCTTATTACATGCATCAAGATGAAAGAAGGCAATGCATGCAAAAAAGGGAAATAAAAAAGTTATAGTTTTGTTCGAATTTTCTTTGCAAGGCAAATTAGGGTTTGTAGATACTTCAAAGGCATCTAATTTTTATTTTACTATCAATTCAATACAATAAAAGATAAAGTACATGTGCAAGAAATATTTTACAACCATTTTATTTGCAAGCAAACAACACTTTTATGTAAAATAAAGATGCTAATCGGAAGGGAACACTACAGGAAAACCTGTTATTACCGGCGGACAGAATCCGCCGGAACTAATGTAAACTCCGACGGAAACGTTAGTTTCCGGCGCAAGTTCCGGCGCAAAGCTCTCCGCCGGTTTCGGGTGCGTCGATAATTTTTTTCCGACGCATATGTTGCGCCGGAAACAGTTCCGGCGTAGTTTCCGACGCACTACCGGCGCATTAAACGTTTTGTTTACCGACGTGAAAAATGGGAGAATTCCGGCGCCTTATGCGCCGGTAATTACCGTCGTATCATGCGACGATAATTAACGGCGGATAAGGCGTCGGAGTTGCGTCATCGAAATTCCAAGCTTGGTTTACGACGCAATTGTTGCGCCGGTAATTAACGGCGGAATATCCGCCGGACTGGCGACGGTAGTTTCCGACGGATCATATTCGCCGGTAAGTACGCTCGATACATTTCGTTGTATCGTCTTTTCCGGCCACGGCAATGGACGCCGGTAACTTTCCGGCGTCAGTTCCGCCGGAAATTACGCCGTAAACTTTACGTCGCATCATTCCGCCGGAACCTGCGCCGTCAATGCCGGCACAAAAATATCCGCCGGAAATTCCGACGGTAATCGCGTGTTTTCCCGTAGTGGAATAAAAATAGTATGAATTGACTGGTTTGGTGTATTATGGGTGTACGGAAAAACAAATATAGAAATTTTAAGATCTCAGGTATCTAGTTGAAAGTAAAATCCATACAAAGTAATATTTTGAGAAATTTAGAATACCTCCAGTTTATTTTCAGTGTATTATGAAATTCACCCAAATTGGGTGAATTCAGTATACTCCACTAATGAAGTAGATCACCATTCAGCTTGGGAGTGACCCATTGTGACCTTGCCTCTGCTGGGACCTGAAAAGATCAGAGTCTATGACCCCGCTATGTTGTCCTCGTCAACCCCACCTTCACAACGCAACCCCATTGCAACCAACTGAGATTTGCTTTTGCAACCCCATCCCCATCTACGACCTACCCGCGGCTTACCACCCAACTAGGCACCCCACACCTGTGACCACACTTGAGACCCACTGATGGGGACATCGATACGAGGTTTCGACGCGTCTATCAGAGGCGACACAGGAGATCGATGGCCATGATGGAGAGTCTTTACTTTTGATGCATTTTATGTATTAGTCATTTTTATTTTTTTAGTTTTCCATTTTTGCCCTTATGGGTAGTTGGTCACTATTGTAGCCCAAGGGGCATTCTTGTCTTCTTTTTTTTTTTTTGTCATTGTGAGGTTTATATATATGGTCATCCTCTTATGTATTGGATGATGAATGTTTAATGAAATTTTACTTGTTTATTCTTCTTCTTGCATGAGAGCTAGAGAGAAGGGAGAGAGCTCAAAGTGAGCAATTGCAAGGCCCACCAGTCGTTGGAAGAGTCCGCGACTCGTGGTTAGTTTAATTTTATCCTAATTGTTTTCTTCTTCATCTCCCTTTCCCTTTCTCAAACCCATCGCCGGCCACGTCCAAATTTCCCACCACCGATGGCTCATCCCCTCCACCCACATCATCCCCTAGCTCCATCATTCAAAATCCCACCACCAACCAAAACCCCAACCCGCCCCTTTCCCTCCTTGCCGCCACCCCCTTCCCTCATAATTGCCCTTCATTATGATGATTTCAATCATCATAATGATTTCCTAATTAAGCTATGCATTAGAGGGAAAATTCGAATTCATTTGAAATTCAAATATCGAATTTCGAATTCTTTCCATTTTTAGAATTCCGAAATAGGAAAGTTAGTCATGACATCAATCTAAATTCAAAATAGATTTGATTCAATATTAACTTTCCTAAATCATAATCCTTGCTTGGAAACCTCCTAAACACCTCCCCAAATTTCCTCCCTCTCTCTCCATGCCACCGGCCTACTAGGGCCTCTCCAATTAATGCCTTAAGTACTTAATGCTTACTTAAGGCATTAATTGCAAGATTAATTTGAAATCAAATTTCGAATTATTCTACACCCAATTTCATTCAAATCCTAAAATTAATTTCAGGTTTTGAAAATAAAACCCCCACCTCCTCTCTCTTGAACCTGCCAGCCCCATTAATGGGCTCTCACTTTGTTTGTTTCCAATTCTACCCAAATTGAATTTGAATTCAAATCTTAATTTGATTCCCTCCAAATCTAATTAAGTATGAAATTTATTTCAGATTTATTGGGAGACTTATTGGAATCGGATTCCAAACCCTAGCCCTCTTCCCCTTGAAGCCGCCGCCCCTCTCCCTCCTTTCTATTCAAGCCGCCACCTCTCTCCTTCACCCCTTGCTCTCTTTGCCTACTCCCTTGGGCTCTCCCTCGCCATCTCATGTCAATGATGTATGGCCGATCCCAAGGTTGATCGCGGTTTCGCTTACAACGATCGTGAGGAGATTGACATTCTTCTCTCTCCTTTCTAGGACCCCGATTGGGAGTACGACGAGACGGTGGAAAGATACGTCAAGCGCATCCTCTACTGCTTAGCACATACGATTGATCTTCAAAAGCCTAAGACGCCTTGGCATCTCGTTGGGAGATCTACTCCTTCTCCGTCCGTGGCTACCTCTCCACCACCGTCAACTTTTATGTGGATTAAGACCATTGGTGTTGCGACCGTCCTCGTGGCATTGTTGGGTGTGCTGAAGACCTTTCTCCGCTAAGCCATATTTTGAGTGTGAGTGAGCATGGTAACTCATAGTGAACTCTCTAAATATTAACTGTGGGATTGTATTACAACATATTTGTTTTTACTGTGATAATTTCAGATCTATCTTCAGTTGTTCCAAACTTCTAGTCTTGTAATTGCTTGCCATAATAAACTTGACGATTGAGAGCTCTTTAATCTCGTCTTACGAAACATTATTCTTAAAGTAGCAAGCATCGTAATTCTTTTAAATATTCCCGTGCAATTCTTGTTAGTTTCGAATCACCCACCCTAGCAATCCTGCCATACAACATCTGAGTTCAATGTCAATGTGCTAGAATTGATTCCTTACATCCAACCAAGAATAAATTTTTTGTGCTTTCTCTTACAGTCATCCAAACAATCCAAAGAAATTAAAATGCACTGTATCTAATTTACACAACATTTGAAATACACCTATATTCTAATTACTTGCAGCCAAAGAACTCCTAAATTAAAATAACATCACTTAACATCAGAAGTTAATTGACATGGATACAAATCAAGTTTTTACTAAACCCAAAGCTCCCCTTCCACAATATTCAGTTCCCCTTACACAATATTCAATCGAGTAATCTTTCATATTATAATGTTTGAAGATGTACAGGAGACATAACTTTTGCTAAAAATACAATCACATTTCATCTTACAATTTTTATCTAGGAATCAGCTACCATCAATCAACCTTTCCTTTATTACAAAATATACATCAATTGCTTTGTTGCAGAAACTAAATCTCCCTACTTTTTTAAAAACTCCCAAACGGCCTGGAACAAAAATCAATTGTTCCAGAAATCCTTAACATAGGGGGAATTGGGCGGATAAGCAGAACACAAAAACCTAATCCCAGCAATTTGATATCCTAATCCCTATGTCCCCATGGATTGTCCAGAAAGACTCACCTGGGCATCCGCGTAACGCCCATTTGCGCGAATACCATCACCTCCAATTACTAGAGATGGAAAAGAATCAACCATCGGCTTTCCTTCTCCCTCGGCGATGAGCGCACGGGCACTTCTCTGCATGCTAATCAGCACATTATGCCAGGTATTAACCCTCGAGTGGGTACGGCCGGCCACTCCAACGACATTGAGATCTGCGAGATCTTCAGCGTGCATCGCGAGCACGTCCTCCGGACGCGCTCCGTCGACGACAGAAATAAGGCAGGCACAGAAGCCACGAGTGATCTCGGAGTCACTATCAGCCGCAAAGCGCATCCGGCCGAGGGCGTCGAGCCGAGCGGAGAGCCAGACCTGAGCCGTACATCCCGTGACGCGGTTGGAGGGTATGCGGTCAGCGTCGGGAAAAGGTGGGAGATCATCTGCGTAGAAGAGGAGACGCTTAACACGGTCGATGGGCTCGGGAAGGGACTTAAACTCGTCGGAAAGACGGCGAAGACGGAGATTACAAGCGTCAGCTGCAGATTCCAAGTCCGATTCAGTGACGGTCGCGATGGCCGCGACGGCGATAGCTGCGGAGCCGGAGACGAGAGGAGCAGCGGAGCAACGGAGGACGAAATGGTATGAGCAGCGACGACGGAGTCTGCGGGACCGAGAAGGGGCATGCTTATGGTTAGGGTTAGGATTGAGAATAAGCTCAGTAGCTAGAGTGAAACAATTCATGACGGCTGAAGCAGAGAGGGTGAGACTTGCAGAGGAAAGGAGAACTGAAATGGCGGGTCGTGAAGCGTATAAATAGATTGGATTTTGGGAGACAAAAGCGATGATGGAGGGGCCTGACGGGCAAAATTATTGTTAAAGAACAGGTCGCTGTCGAACTGTCGAACCCAATTCGAATTAGTTGGAGTTTGAATTCGAAAATTTTGATTTCGGCTTAAGGTGCTATTCGGTTGAGGTACTATGAATGAAGAGTTAATTAAATGTAGAATTTTGTTTGAAAACAAAAAGTAAATTTAAAATATTTTTTAACAATTTTGAATATAACACTTGTTTATTTTGGTTAACTTCTCAATTTGCTTGATAAAATTTAATTCATTTGAAATTCACCCTCTAATTCTTTTTTGGAGTTTTTGAAGTTTCTCATACTTGAGCGAGTTTCAAATAAATCATAAATTCATTGTCATTGTTCTCACCCGCTGCAAAAACTGCCCACCTTTAGTCATCAGTTGTCATCGTAATCGTTGGTCGCCACCACCGCCACCACCCAACATCAGAACCTGCAATCACCTCTACAACTATTAAACTGTCACTATCATTGCCAACCACCATCTATGTCGTAGTCGACCATCAACCACTGATTGTTGTAGCTGCCACCGCCGACGACGACCTGAACCACCACTGCCGCCTCCAACAGCATAAGAATGATGAGTTAAATGAAAAATATCTATGAGATTGTGGTTTAACTTTGGAGAATGAATTTCAACATGACAACAAAGGGAGCCCTACATTGGTGTCCTCAAATTGATCAGGAGAATTTCTCCGATGAAATTGTTTATTGGACAATCTTGTCCAAGTCTTTTAAAGAATCTTTTATGTGCTAGTTTTAAATATTATTATTATTAGAATTCAATCAGTACTATTTTAAAAATATTTTGATAAATATTTGCAGGGAAATTTAATTTAATATAAAATTATATGAAATTATTATTATTATTATTATTATTATTTTCTCTCTTTATTTATGTACCAACTTATCAATTTTGATTTCTTAATTATCAAGTGGAGCAACATAATATTTTTTAAAAGCAAAAAATACACTAATGTGGTTCCAAATATATTCTCACTCTCGTCACGATATGCTTAAATTGGATTCCAAAGAAGCAATCATAATCTTCCGTACACATTTTAATGACATCAGTGCTTACATAATCAGCTTATAAGATAAGTGCTTATGAAGAGATATTAATTGAATATTACCTTTTGCTTTATTTATGGCCTGCTGGATGCTTGGAAGTGTGTTCTGTCATTCTCTGCTGTGAAAAAAATAGAAATCTTTATGAAATTTTGAGAAACTTTTAAGATAAAAGACGCATTAAATAACATGAATGATTAGCTACTGACAAGGCTAATTGCGCCGCCTTCATTTTAAAAATATTAACTCATAATATGGAGATTCATGGCCCCTGATCCGGTCACCTAACGTAGCTCTACATTCGGACGTCAGTAAATTAGTGCCACATGTTCTCACTATTTACCGCGCGGCCCGACAACCCGACCCGGAACGAAGCCGGGATTACCATGTTCGCGTATTGCTAGGTATTACTCGGTATTGCTAGGTATTACTCGGTATTGCTAGGTATTACTCGATTTTGCTCGGCAATAACGAGAAATATCATTCTGTGAAGATCAATATCGAGCAATACCTAGAAATACCGAGCAATACTGAGTTTTTCTCGGTATTGCTCGGTATTGCTTGGTATTTCTCGGTATTGGTCTTGACAGAGCGGTATTTCTCGTTATTGCCAAGCAATACCGAGTAATACCAAGCAATAACAATTAATACCGAGCAATATGTGAACATAGCAAACCCGGGTCAGATCGTCGGGCCGCGCGGTAAAGAGTAAGAGCACGTGGCGACATATTATTGGCGTTCGAACGTAGAGCTAAGTCAGGTCACCTGACCTAATAATTGTTCCCATTTTGGAGAGATTATTTGGTGCGGAGTGCGGACGGGTAGAACCGTCCGCACAAGTATTGAGTACTTAGCGGTACCCGTACTCGGTACCGCTGGGTACCCAGTGCTTGCACGGATAATGTGCACTCCTCACCTAATAATTTTTCCCCATTTTTGCCATGAAAAAAAATTGTAAGTGGATGGTGTGCTTTATTTATTATTATTATTTTTTTTCGGAGTAATGACACTTTAGCCTTGATATTTGTTCATTGGCTTTGTTATTAAATACATCATTATGACATGAAGAAAAAATTTTACACAAATTTTAAATGCATCTAAATCATTAAATCTCTATTATGTAAGTTTGAATAACAATAATAACAATCAAATCAAATTTTTATCCTACTATATGAAATCTACTAAATTAATTATTCTTCATGTAGCGGCTGATCTTATGTAATGAGATAAAAATTTGATGTTGTTATTAACGTTATTATTGTCTAAACTTATAGAATAGAAATTTAAATTTCATTTGGGATGATTTTTCTTTTTTTTTTTTTTTTTGTAACTAAAATATTGTCTTAAAAAACAACAAGAAAGTCGTCTCAAACGAAACTTTAGACATTCAGATATTTTAAAATTTGTATAAGATTTTTTCAAGAAAACAAACAAGTCAACTTTATGCAATTTTTGTAAAATTATATTTTCTTTGAAGCTTCGTTTGGGACGATTTTTTTACTGTTTTTTTAAATCATTTTTTAGCGCAAAAATTTTTATTCAAAAAAAAAATTTGTATAAAAAACTATTTTAAAAAATATTTAAAAAAAAAATCATCTCAAATGAAACTTAAAATAATTGATGGGGATATAATTCCGTTAAATATAAAAATCCTTAGAAAGTGCAGCATTATTTGTCAATTTTATAGATATAAATCTCTTTCTTTTTAGTTGAGTGTCGCCTTCAAAAGCCAAATAAAATCAAAGGAACCGCCAACCAAACTAGAAAATTATAGCCACCGTATACATGTGGTCTGAAATATAGCACAAAAGCTTTCTTTTTCAGCCAAAACTGTCAACGTTTTTGCTTGGAGTGGCTTGAGGCAATAGGGGCCCTCAGAAATTTTGCTTTAGATTGAATAGAAAGAAAAATACTAATTGCTTTTTTCCTTGTGTTCAAAACTCCAGACTCTACAAGATTTGACTTTTTTATTGCTTAAAATAATTTTTGTAGCTTAAAATAATATTTTAGTACAAAAATTTAAATTTTTATACTAAAAAACTGCTTTAAAAATCGAAGCCTTAATTCTAATTGCAACTAAAGCAAGCTTTTTGTTTTTGCATGCAAAATCCATGCTTTCATTATGAAAACTGAATGCTTGTAATGGCTTTCTAAGCTTTTCTTTGGGACAACTTTCTTAATATTTTATAAAGCAATTTTTAGCATAAAAATTTATTTAGCTTTAATTTGCATAATATTTAAACTCACTTATAAACTTAAATCCAATCACTTCCAGGCCTTAAACAAGACAAACTGGCCACTAATGTGTATTAGTGAAGCTATGATGAGTTGTGTATTACTGAGGTTTTTGGCTTTTTGAATTTTTTTTACTATAAAGCTGCTTTAAGAGCCGTCCCAAACGAAACCTCAATCAGCCAATTTATATTTTGAGGCTTGAAGATTGATTTATTAACAGAAATAAAATGATAGATTTTGAAAGCATTGTTAATGTACATAATCAAATGATAAATTCACCATTTTTATACCATATTTTTAGATTCAATAGGTTCAAAGTTGATGTACGGTTAAAATGAAGAAAGTAGTATAGAACTTCCACCAGCAAAGAGCTATGAAAAGGAGCAAATTTTAACTGAAAACCAGAGAAATACAACTTCTTATGGAACCGTTACAGCCCTTGACCAAAGAAAACCTAACGAGCACAAGTAAAAATTCCAAAGTTCTTACAAACATGCAAAGTCGCATACAAACAGATAGAGAACAAAAACAAAATAATAAAATTCTGGGAAAAAATTTTACCTGTATTAACTTATTTTCTTTTAAAAGAGAACATGAAAAAATCACAAAAATTCTGGAAAGCATTTACCAGTCATAAATGAGTGGTTTCTACAACGGAAGTTTAAGTCCAGGCCTGGACTCCCATCCTCTCCGCTTCCTGTATAATTCCACCGCTTGCTGTCTTAGCCTTTCTTTCGAAGCATCCACTGTTAAAGTTTTTGACATCTGCAAAAGCATATGGCACTTATCGTTTTTCTAAAGTTTTGATAATAAAATTGCAAAAAGTTGGAATCTTTAAAATAATATAATACCTTTGGTAATGAAAGCTTAGGTGGAGCCTCAACAACTTCACCAAATCTGATATTTTCTCGTCCTGGAAAGTCCAGTGCATGATTCGCCTTTACTTTTTTGTGTTTATTTTTTCTCTCTTTTAGGTATCTGTAAAAGGTTGAAAAGAGGGGCAAACGGCCGGACAAATTTAAAATATTTATAAATTCTCTTCAAATAAAAGCTCTCATTATATGTGGTTGAATGTTATCAATCAAATATTAAGGATTCGTTTGAGACAACTTTTGGTCACGGCTTTTGTGCTACTTCAAAAAAATTTTATGCTAAAAAAGTTGTTATACAAAACAATAAAAAAGTAGTTCCAATTAAAACCTAAAACTTCATTTGAGACAGCTTTTTTATTGTTTCTTAAAACAACTTTCTAATACAAAAATTTTAATTTTTTACTTAAAAGTTATTTTAAGAAGCAGTAAGAAAGTCATCCCAAACGAAGCCTAAGTTGAATACTTAGCAAGCATGAAGCTGCCTCTTTGGCAATTTCATTATTCACCTCAGAAAGTACTGCCAATTTTCACCCACCCCTTCATTAACAAAATAAAAACATTCACCAAATTCACAAGTTCTAAATGAGGTCTAATCTTGCAACTATAATTTTAATTCGATTATAAATTCATCAAAACTAATTTTACAGAACTGTTTAAGTGAACTGCACACTGAAGAGTTAACTTGGAGAAAACTCTTCAAAGGTTAATTAAACTAATTAGTTGCATTAAACGTTGGAATGAACATACATATAAACAGTTGCGCGATTTCATTTAGGGACACCAGGTCAAGCAATACAACTAACATAGGTTCTACTATTGGCTTCAAATGCCTTAAAAACCATTGAAACCAATCTTCTAATTTTTAATATTGTAATAATGAAAGTATGCATTTAGAAGAAAGCTTACTCTTTCTTGCGTTCTTTCCTCTTTGAATGTTTTCCAAGCTGATCCAAAGCCTCAAAACGGAGGTCTTTCGCTGAATTTCTCTTTCGTTTTCTTTTCCTCGTATCAGCCGAGCTAACTTCTGCACTTCCATTTTTGTCCATAACAAGATTATTTTCTGTTTTATCATTTGTATGGTCTCCCAGTATTAAATTGGATGCTGTTGATCGTGATACGTTTAGATTTGGCTTCTGTGATTACAAACAATAGAAGTATTTAAAATTAGATACCTCTCCATCAACAAATCAATAAATCATTTAAATCACAAGGAAATATTGGTCGATCAATGAAGCTAACTAATAGTGTACTTGACATTTTTCTGTAGCACGTGAACAAATCTGAAAAACTTGACGTCTTGAAAGAGGGGAATGCCCAACTGGCCACAACTATGAGGCTTGATTGGCCAGATAAATTGAATTAATGCACTATATGGACACTTTAGCTCATTTCGAATATGATGAGAGTACAAAACATTTTAAGTAACATGAGAACCTATATTTACAAAAAGAAATATGTAAATTGACTAATAAGAACTATAAGCAAATTGAGAAGGTCTAATCCTGAAAAGAGACTAGATCACGTTTAGTACATCAGGTTTGCAAATGATTTTACCATCTATAAATTGGAGAAAACCCTAAGATAAGTGACATAGCAGCAACTGTTGTTTATCTTTTTTCATCGAAAACCAAAATCCTAAAAGAATCAATAATATAAGCTTCCTAAGGTATAAGCAAATAAATTTACTTCAACAGAAACTATATTTTAGAGAAAAAAAAAATACCAACCATAAATGAGCATGTACATCAAAAAACAATCCCAAAAAAAAAAAACACACACACAATCAATGCAAGAACCTCCCAAAACTGTGAACCTGTGGAGAGGTTGACTCATGCAAGTTAACCCTGCTTTAGCAGAGAGGCTGCTTCGATCATTTGAATAAATAACTTCCGTGTAAGAATGGGTATCTCACGTATACAAATCTATTAATAATTATAACTTGATTAAACTTATCATGAATGATACAAACCACTTATGTCAAACAGTAGAAGCTAAAGTGGAACTTCAAGCATTTTGTGGATGAAGATCAATGCAATAGTTGGTAAAAGTGGCACATGTGACCCTACCATGTCTAATATGGACCTAGTTATGTTTGCTAACATGGAGGCGAAGAATGAGCTAAAAAATAATTTACCATGCAGATCTAAGCATAAGAGTGTGAAGAATCAAGGGCACGCATGCATAGTCAGCCGGATTTATAAAAGGGTTTTTCTTTTCATTTTAAGCCATACGTAAACCTATATGTGACAAATTATGTTGCACCGATACACCTATTTATAAAGGTGTGTTATATCCGATACACGGATACGACATCGATACGTGTCGGATACGGCTTTGCCGTATCCAATTAAAATACTATTTAATTTCAAAAGGCACGCGTATCCGATAAGTGTGTCCATTGAAAAAAAAAAACCGAAAAAAAGACCCGTCGTATTTACTTCCACGGCTGCGAGTGAGGTTCTCTCATTTCCGACATGGATTTGAGTCTCTTGATGATATGCGAATATTAGAAATTGCTAATATTTCACTAGATGAGTCTGAATTAGAAGCTATGATATTTATTGAAGATGATATAGAAGTTCAAAGACAAACCATTGAAGAAGCTAATCATATTATTCATTCTATCGAATAGTTAAAATTTCATGTGCTAGACAGTTTATGTTTATACTTTTGTTGTTGTACTAGACGTTTAATGCTTACTTTTATTTTGATATTATAGGCTACAAGGCTACAAATGATGTTTATTTCATTGTTTTTGTAATTTCAAATATTATTGCTTTGATTGCTTTCTTAATTTTTATGTATGATTTATAAATCATAATATCGTGTTGCACCATACCCGTATCCTGTATTTTTAAGAATTGACCTAACGTGTCGTATCCGTGTCACCATTTCCGTATCGGTTCAACATAGGTGACAAATAAATAAAAGATAAGCATGAGAGAGTCAACATATTGATTTGCTTTCTCAAGCCACGAAGATAGAAATTTTGGGAGATCAATGCATAAGATAATCACAAAAAACCTTTTTACTCTTTATAAGATGATAAAAGAAAAAGATTTAAAGCAACTGAATTGAAAATCATTATAACCATTATGCATGCTAATGATAGGAAGTAGATACAATTTTCTCGAAATCAGCGAATGTCAATAAGAAATTAGGAAGAAGAACACACCAAAACTCTTTTTATTGCAACATATATGAAAGAAAACATCACATACAGTTGGATCTTCAATTGGAGAGGAAGATCCAACTCTCTCAAATCCCTAGCTGGCATCTAGAGCCTTCACAACTAAGAAATTCTAATTTCAGCAAACTCAAAACATGATAACAACAATAGAACAATGGAAAAATTATAGAAATACTCCATACAATGATAGTTTTTTTATTATAATTTCAAATCAAAGACAAGATACAAGTGATCTACAATTATAGAGGTAGATCGACTCTCCCAAACAACCTAGAAGCCGCTAGGAAGCCCTCAAGAACAAAACCGCAAGCTACAACAAAACACAAAACTCAGCAAGCATACCCTAATCCATAGACAAATTCCCCCTTAAATAGCCCTAAAACACAATTAATTGAATAATTATATTTTTTAAAAATTGCCCTAAAACACAATAACACAATTAGATCCTCCATAATCAACAAAAACAAAATTTATAAAACATTTCAAAATAAATAGAAAATTCCTGATCAACATAAACATAATTTAGAAAACTTCCTAAACAATTAAACATGATTTAGTTGTTGGCTCAAAAAAAATGACACGAATGCACGAATCCCGCTTTGCAGCCATAGGATTCCATTTCTCTTAAGTCAAATTGAAATTAATCAGATTTCCCCTGAGGGTAGTGTCAGGGTTTAAAAATCTAGGGCTCTTACTTTCTATGAGCGCAAGCACTCATAGTTAATTACCCCTCTTAACGCGTAAGAGAGAACTCTCGATTAAGGATGAATAAATTTTAAATAATTTTAGTCTCAATAATGGGGAAGTGGAGGTAAACCCGATCAAGATCCCATGGTTCCGTCATCCCGGGTATACCGTAGTTCCAATCTACCAACACTAACAATCATTGACCGTAGTGTCCAGGGAACCTAATTAGCAACCATGGGTGGCCTCCTCTCAGGAATCCCAAGTAGACTGAAGTGGATATGTGTATTTTAATTTTAATTTTTTTTTATTTGGTGTTTTAGGTTTTGGGTTTTACATCTATTAGAATACTCAGAAATTTTATTCAGTTTGGGGTTTACATCTTTTAGAATACCCAGGAAGTTGATTTGGAGAGGGTCTTATGACTTCTTCAGGAAGTAGCCCAGGGATTTAGATTTGGTTTGGGACTTATGAATTTCGTAGAAAGTAGCCCGATATACTTTTTTTATTTGGAATGGGGCTTACTGCTCTATTTATGAGTTGCCCAAGAATGGTCTTACAACCTAACTCTACAGTGAGGCTGCCCGAGGATTTTGATTGTTTAGGTAGGACTTATGTCTTCCCTTAGGAAGTAGCCAGAAAAGCGGGTCTTACAACTTAATCCTTTAGATTAAGATGCCCATAAGTTTGAATTTGATTATTTGGGATTTAAGATCATTGCTATTTATTTAACAATTTTCTTAAGATGTGTGTCTTAAGACTTCACTTAGAAGTAGCATGTTAATTTGTTTAGTTTGGGGCTTACGGCTCCAATTAGGATATGCCCGACGATTAGGGGCTTATGGTTCCAATTAGGAGTTGCCCCGATAGTGGGAATTATGGCCTCTTTTACAGGTTGCCCGTTAATTTATTTAGTTTGGGGCTTACTGCTCCAATTAGGAGTTGTCTGGATAGTTTGCTTAGTTTGGGGCTTACGGCTCCAATTAGGAGTTGCCCGAATAATTTTCTTAGTTTGGGGCTTACGGCTCCAATTAGGAGTTGCCCGGAGAATTTCAGTTGGATAGGTCTTATGGCTTCCTTAGAAGTTATCTAATGGTGGGTCTTACGACCTAACCCTGTAAGCTAAGCGGCCCGAGTTGTGGGTCTTACAACCTAGTCCTTTAGACTAGGATGCCCAGATGAGGGGTCTAGGTTTGTGTTATCACCTAAATATTTCACTTAGAGGTCGGACTTACGGCTTCTATTAGAAGTGGCCGGGGTTTTAATTGGGGTTTAAAAGTTAGATCAATTTTACCTAAACCTTTCCCCTAAGATCGGGCTTAATGCTTTCCTACGAAAGTTGCCGGGTAGTGGGTCTTACAACCGAGTTCTTATAAACAAGGCTGCCCAATTATTTGTGGATTTGATTGTTTGTTTGTCGAGTTTGACACCAGTGTCTTGTTTTGAGAGGTTTTACACTTGTGTTAGTGTTTTATTTGTTTGTTCTGTGCTTGTAGCCTTTTTCTTACTACAGCAGTTCAATACTCTTCCTGTTTCTAGCACTGTTACACTACTAGCTTTTTCGTACTTAACATTTCCTGCTTTTCAGTACTTTGTTTTACTTGCAGTAGTTGGATTTACCACTTTCCCGCATTGATTTAATTTATTTATGCTGCATTAATTTTTGATTGCTTGTTTGCAGGCAAGTGGTGCTTGCAGCAATTCAGTGGATAGGCTCCACAAGTAGTTGTATGAGCTCGTACAGGAGAGCTTTGAAGATCATGCAAAAGAGTTTGAAGATTTTTTAGTTGTTTGAAGAGTTTGTACGGTTCTTTAGTAGGGTTTATTGTTTGGAGAGTTTGAGAGCTTGAGAGCAATTTGTAAATGTTAATTAATGCAAACAATATTTCTTTTCATGCATTTTTTTCTTTCTTTTAAGATAAATTTAATCAACTAACCAAAAATTTAATTTTTTCTAGTTAATTGTATTAATTTTGATCTTTGAAATTATCATATTTTAAAATTCTCACAATTTAAATTTCTAGTATATAAAAAAAATCATTTAATGCCCTCGAACTTTGAAACTTTTGAATTTTAAAGGTTCTTAAAAAGAAATATTTAGATTATAGGGACATGAAGAGAATGAGTGCTTGTACGCTCTCCGCTCTCACGCATTTGACGATATAGAAGACTTTGAAGATCTAAATTAATCAAATATTTTGATTAATCTTAAACAGACTAATTTTTATTAAACCTTAATTAACTATATTAGTTAATTAATTTTTAAAAGTCAATTTTAACATTTTTGTCGAATCAATATTCAAATATAATCTCTCTAAATTTTAAGAAAATTTTGACAGCCTCCCGGCGTCACCTCCTCACCGAGGGAGAAATCGGGACGGCATTGCCGTAATTTCTTCCTACCCGGACCTAAGGTCGACGGTGTAGGGTCTCCTGTTGGGAGTCGAAGGAGCAAAGTCGGACGGCACTAAGGAACCGCAGAAGCTGCTCGTGCAATATGTATTTCTTGCAACGAAGTCGGGCAACGACAGAGCCGAGGGCAGCGACAGAGCAGAGGAAGCGATCGTGCAATCGCTACACCTGCGAAGTGGCGAAGCCGGACAGCCACGGGGAGTCGGAGAAGTGACGCCCGCAATCTCTACACCGCTTGCGATGCAACGTCGGACGGTAATGACGAAAAAGAGAAGATGGAAGCGAACCCTAGGCTCCTCCTAAAGCAACAAAGTTGAATTGCTTTGTTGGGGCCAAAGTCGAACAGCAACCAAGGATTCGAAGGAGCGTCTCGTGCGATCTCTTTGCCTTGTGCGAAGCAACGAAATCGAACAACAACGAAGAACAGAGCGTCTGTCGAATCGGAGTCAGAGCGAATGAGCGAATATCCTCCCCTCTCCGAACTCCTTCGTTCCTTTTATTTGTTTCCTTTGTCGAATGGTGGTTACTCGAGCGAAACAATGTGTCATTCGGTGAAGTGGGGCCGGCAGAGAGCGTGAACTGCTTCGTAATTCTTCATTTTTATTTTTATTTTTTAAGTCAACATTAGTAAACCTTCCTAAAAAATTAAACATGATTTAGAAAACATTCTTGAACAATCCAACATATTTTAGAAAACCTTCCTAAACAATTAAAAACTTACTAAATAGCAATATAGCATAAACACAATTAGGAAACTATCCTAAATAACTCACTCTTGATAAGGAACATTCCTAAATAACTCCCCACCCCTGCGTATCAGCTACCTAAAGCAAAAGAACCAAAACCATGATAGTTTTATACCATTCTTTTCTTATATCACATGCAAAGAGTATTTGAGCTACTTCCCAAAAATTTAGAAGGAATAAGAGTTTTTCAACTAAGGTGTTCTTAGTCATCATACTGCGTCTAACAAGAACCACCTAGCAAGCCAACCAGCTCGGGTTACATTGTCTCAATAGAGTACATGAGTCAATGGTGCCTCAAGAAATATGCTTTTATATTGCAGTCGAGGCAATTTGTTTTCCACACAACAACAACATCAAGAACTTATCCCACTATGTGGGGTCGACTACATGAATTATTTTTCTACATTGATTTTGTTAAGAGTTAAATTCTCATTTAAATCTAATAAAGAAAGTTCATTTCTAATATTTTCTAAGTTTCTAACTAAGACTTTTTAGGTCTACCTCTACCTTTTTTAACATAAGTCAAATATAATACATCTACTTTTCTAACTGGGTCATCGGAAGACCGCCATTTTATGTGAACAAATCATCTAAGATGACTCACTCTAATCTTATCTTCCACTGGAGCTACTCCAACTTTTTCACGTATATGCTCATTTCTTATATGTTTTCCACTCAAGCTCGGGAAAAAATATTTAATGCTTCATTGCTTCTACAATACCAAACTAATTAAAAGCCAATACAATTGGTCAACGTCTTCCTCATAAAGCATTCCCTTGTGTTCTCCAATGTAATATCTCCATGAGAGCATGAATCAGTGTTCTTCATGAAGTGACGTCAAGGCCCATCTAGCATGTCCATGCATGCATCGTTGGTACCTATACAAGCTTAATAGACACAGACTACTTACTACTAGAGTCTCACACCAATCATAGAATGCCTTAAACACTGCTGAAGGATCAGTAAAGCCACAAAGTAAGCAGTGTCACGCATTCACAGAGGATTGATTCCACTGTTTGACATATTTTAGGACTTGAAATTAAAAAAAAAAAAATCCAAAACCGCCATAGCTTTACTTGCCTTTTTACCGGAAGATTCATCCTTCCTCTTCCCTTGTCTGGTTTCCGCAGAACTTATCGTATCTCCTACAATCCGCAAGGAAAAAAAAAACTGCGTCAGATAAGAATAAACGAGTTCATGCACATCAATTGAAACTGATGTGTTATAGTCAAGCAAGAGTAGGGGAGGGATAAAAGGACCATGCTTTGACCCAGAAGAGTTCTTGAACTCCATGATCTTGCGGAGTTTCGAGGGAAGTGCTTCAAGTTCTTTAGCGGTAGGCGGGGGTGGAAGGCGTTTATCACCACCATGAGCAGCCAGATAGTTCTTCTCACGCCGCCGTCGGCCCTTACCGCCCATCTAAGCCTTCTAATTAGAAGACAGTTATACGAACGAGGAGGGGAGGGGAATGGGAGCCTGACTACTGGCTTCGAGATAGATGGCGAGATATCCGGCCGAGCCCTGTCACTTGAGCGGTCGATCGAATCAGCCGAGCGACTTAGGGGATGTTGGGTTGCAGGATTTAACCTACGGGATGTTGGGTTGCAGGGTTTAACCTAACTCCCGCGAAACAGCAAAAATGAAAACCTTCTGTTTGGCAACAGGATTTATGCAGGATTTGGATTTGAGCAGCATTCGTAAATCTCACGGCGGAACAAATCCTCCGTTTCTAGAACGTTTATTTGGCCTCACAGGACGTAGCTCTAAGTTCGGCCGCCAATAGAATCGCACCACGCGTTTTCACTATTCACCGAGCGGCCCGACAACCCGATCCGGAACGGACCCATGATGGCTCGGTATTTCTCGATTTTGCTAGGTATTGCTCGGTATTACTAGGTATTGGTCAATTTTGCTTGGTAATAATCAATACCGAGCAAATACCGAGTAATACCGAGAAATACCGAGTTATTGTACCGAGTTTTTTCTAGAAAAACTCGGTACAACTTGGTATTTCTAGCAAATACCTCGGTAAGAAAAAACTCGGTACAACTCGGTATTTGTCTTCGCAGAGCGGTATTTCTCGTTATTGTCAAGCAATACCGAGTAATACCTCGCAATACGCGAACATAGCATTCCCGGGTTCCGGTCCGGGTCAAGTCGTCTGGCCGTGCGGTAAAGAGTAAGAGCACGTGATGACATATTGTTGGCGGCCGAACGTAGCTCTATGTTCGGTCAGATGACGTAATAATTGTTCCCGTTTCTGTCTTTTGCCCTAAATAGTAAATCCTGTATTAGTTCGGCGGATTTACGGGATTTGGCTGAATAAGTGCGCGAAAGGGAAACTAAGGCGTTGTTTGGTAGCATCAGGATTCGATTCAGGGGGTTGTTTGATTGTTCGAGAAGAAAATACAGTCTAAAGTAAGATTATGCAACTCTTAAGGGGTGTTTGACAAAAGTAGTATTTAACTTTTGTAGGATTTAATAAATCCTATAAATTTAGGATTTAATAAATCTTGGTATGTTAAATCTTAAAAGCTGTTTGGCAAAATAATTGTTAAATCATGTTAAATCTTCTGAAACTGTTTGACAAGGCCTTCTCCCTAAGAAGGGCCTCATTTGTAATCGACTGCAAATACTAGTGGATTCATTCAAACTGGGCTAGGCCCCGTGGTTTTTCCCCCTTTTTCAGGGGTTTTCCACGTAAAAACTTTGGTGTCTCTTATGAACGCTACACCCTCTCACTTATCTGATCGTGTGCTGGATCTTCGTACAACGCTAAGACGTTAAACTATATATTTCTCTACCGCCGCGAATATTCCAGGACGCAACAGGAGTTAAGATGGTCCTATAATTAATTTTGAAAGTTTTTAATTCATCTTTGCCTCGAGATTCATGCTCGATCAAGATGTTTTTTTGGTGATGCATCATGTAGCCTTATAATTAATGCTTAGGTATCGTTTGGGACTACTTTATTAATGCTTTATAAAACAATTTTTACTATAATAATTTCAAATTCAACATATTTTTTAAGTAAAAAAGTACTTTAAAAACAGTAAAAAAAAATTGTCCGAAACAAAACCTCAATCATTAAAAATTAAAAAAAACAAAAGCTTTAATAAAATGATATACGTAGGAACAATAAATCTTGAACAGTGATGAAATCAACAATATAATATCTAAAGTAGGTAAATGCAACAATTCTATTCGCCCAAGAAGTCGAAAAAAATAAAATCATTAGAGTATTTAAAAATCAGAGATCTCATTAAGAACTAATATTAATAATTCAAAAAATTATGATTGAGAGATAGAGAAAAGAAAAAAAAAAACTTGAAAGCTTCTGCTTATCTCATAAATCAATCTAAATAATTTGATAAATAAAACCTTTAAGATTTGATGGTTATTAAATAAATTAAAACGGTGACATAATAGGCATTTCAGTAAAGTAATACACTGCCCCATGTCTTTTTAATAACCTAGGTTTGATTAGTTAAGTTGTACTTATTTTGCCATAGAACAAATAATGTAATATAAACTAAGTGCTTATTCCAGACAAAAGCATAATTTATGCGTTTTACATCTTAGTATTGTATGCATATCCATCTCACGTACATACAAAAGAGGGTCGTAGTAGACACTAGAGTTTTTACAGAAAAAACCCAAAGAAATAAAAACCATAAGACATAGCCCAATTGAAATGATTCAATTAATTTTTGTCATTGATTACAAATGATGTTCTTCCCCATAATTGAATAAAGTGTCGAACTGTTGACACAAAATAGTCGATATGAACAATATCTAATAGAGGTCGGGCAACAGTGGTTGGAAGGTTGATTTGTCGTTGTTGGATAACAATGGTCAAATGGTCATAAACGAGTGATGGTGTTAGGAAGACTATAGTCAAGCGATAATGGTTGAATGATTATAATTGGGTGATGGTGGAAGAAAGATCATGGTCATGAAACAGTGGTTCAACGTACTCAAGTGACGGTGGTTGGATGACTATAATCGAGTGACGGTGTCAGAAAACTGTATTAGGGTGATAGTGGCCTAAGGATCATAGTTAGGTAATTGTGGCCGGAGGGTCGTAGTTTGGCGACGTTAGCGGGAGGCCAGTTGTTGGATGACAATGTTTGAAGGGCTATAGTTAAGCAAGAGTGATTGGAGGGCCATAACTAGGTGACCATGCTTGGAGTGTCGTAATCTGCCTCAATGATCTAAGGGCTTTTAACTAAGTGACAATTGTTGAAAGACTATAGTTGGACAAATGTCAAATGATTGTAGTCAGGATATGGAGGTCAAATGGCTGTAGTGGACGATGGTGGTTGGAGGTCCTTTGTTAGACAACTATAATTGGACGACAATAGTTAGACGATGATGGTAAGTGGACCGTAGTCGGATAATAGCGGGTGAAGTGCAGATGAAAAGGGGTAGAGGTTCGATGGTGGCATTCCGATAAGTCGATAACATCGATCTGATGATGGCTTGAAATTAAGTAGGAATCAAAGGCTTAAATAATCTTGTAGCTCCATCGAATCACTACCTAACCACCGTAATCCGACCAAAGCCAACTAACATCTGCAATCGAACTAACCATCATCAGATCGATGTTATCGACTTATCGGGAGTGGCGTGCTTATAATTATAATCAAAATTCGAAACACTCAATCGAACATTTCGTATTAATTCCCTCAAATTTTATATTGTTCTTCAAACATTTACATGCCTTAATAATGTTCGAATTTAGGCAATTTTAAGCTCCCTAGATTTGACTATAAATATATTAGAATGTAGATCATTCGATCATATGATTAATGCTTCGTTTGAGACGACTTTTTTACTGCATTCTAAAATAATTTTTTAGTACAAAAATTTCAACTTCAAGTCTTTTTTTGTACTAGAAAATAACTTTAGAAAACATTAAAAAAGCCGCCCTAAATAAAGCATAAGATCTCAAAGTTATAAATTATGTTTTAAGTGCTTGGTTTGAGCTGCTTTGTCATTGAATTTGTCTTATTAAAACATCTATTATGACCCTAAATTTGCTAAATTTATAGTTCAAATGATCCCAAATTTAATTTTGAAAATTTTCAATTTAAATATTTTTGGAGATTCATTTCCAATCATATCAATTTTTTAGTGAGTGTTATATCAAAACCCATATATGTCAATAAATATATTAAGTCAAACCAATGAGAATTGAGGACAATCATAAAAATAAGAATTTTGACATTGCCTAATAACTAGACAAAAATATAAGAATTTTCACAAAATTTGTATCGCTAAAGTAATTATATACAAGAATATATTTATTTTAATGTAATAAAAGTATACCATCAAATATCAAACAAGAATCTGAGACTCAAAATTATAAAGTTAAATTACATGCTCAAACAACTATTATCCAAAGGAACAATTATTACGTCCTCTGACCAGACGTGGAGCTACGTTCGGCCGCCAATAACATGTCGCCACGTGCTCTTACTCTTTACCGCGCGGCCCGACGACTTGACCCGGACTGGAACCTGGGAATGCTATGTTCGCGTATTGCGAGGTATTACTCGGTATTTGCTCGGTATTGCTTGGCAATAGCGAGAAATACCGCTCTGTGAAAACCAATACCGAGTTGTATCGAGTTTTTCTAGAAAAACCCGGTACAACTTGTATTGCTCGGTATTACTCGGTATTGCTCGGTATTTGCTCGGTATTGGTTATTGCCGAGCAAAATCGACTAATACCTAGCAATACCTAGCAAAATCGAGAAATACCAAGCCATACTGGGTCTGTTCCGGGTTGAGTTGTCGGGGCGCACGGTAAATAGTGAGAACGCGTGGCGCGATTCTACTGACGCCCGAACGTAGAGCTACGTCCTGTGACCGGACCAAATAAAAGTTCTATCCAAAGCACCAAAGATTATCTCAATCAAATACCAGCCAAACGAGAGATCAGTAGCCTCAGCTAGACGAGCAATTATTAGGTCCTTTCACTAGATGTAGAGTAAGATTCGGTTTTAGGCAAAAATAGGTCAAAAAGTGCAAATACCGAGTTTTTTGAAAAACTCGGTATTTTTTCAAAAAACTCGGTATTTGCATTTTTTTAGACAAAACTGAACCTTCCTCTAGGTCCTTACACCGGACCAAATAAAAGTTCCAGCTAGACGGAGGAAATAAGCCTAATCAGACTCCCGGTCTCGTCATCGACCCGGGTTTCGTCGTCTCCTTCGTCAGGACACAAAAACCCTAAACCACTACTTGAACCAGCCAAACTGGCCGTCCAGACCTTGCCCTACCATCATGTCCCCATAGTACGATGCCTTCTGGATTGAGGCCGGGACTAGTAATTCTGCTGAGAACTGCAAGTTCAGCGGTGAAATTTCGTAGTCGCAGCACGCACAGCGGTCTCCCTTACCTATTCCGTTTTGCGATATCATCAAATGCCGGAGATTTTGGACAACGTTGCTCAGCTGGTGAGAGCCGGGGGTTTTGTGGATACGCCGCGGAGCAGTACTCAGATGACGAGTACGAGTGTGACTTCGAAAACCAGAAGGTCAGGAATGGAAACTTTTTACACTTCGCTATCAGTTATCGTCATATTTGTTTTTTTATTTTTTGTTCTCATGTCGTTATCATCATCGTTTTACACTATTACTTATTTGAGATATTTTGTAGTGCTACATGGATTACCCAATCCTTTATTGTTTGATCATTGGCATAATTATTAACTCGATGTGCTTAATAAGTCATGTTGTTCTCCTCGTCAGACTAGAGTTTCTTTAGAATGGAGCATTTAGAGGTTTGCTTTTGAATGCTGATAAGAAGAACACCGCAGTTGTTTCTTGGTGGTAGGTTTCTGATGTCTATGCCATATTGGTTGATTGAATTCTGGATTCGAACTTGTCTAGCAAACCGGTGATTGATGCTATGAACTGATATACAGTGGCTAGTACATCTTATAACTGTCGATTTGGATGCTCTCATGAGTGTACAAATAAAGATTTTTCAGACTATTCTTTTTTTTTTTTTTACTTCTTTGGCGCGCTTACGTTTGATATGACTGCCTGTATATCTTATCGTTTGTTTCTGTGCACTAATCGTTCCCCTAAAACAGCGCAAACTATGACATTTGTTAGAAAATACACTAGCATTTAACATTTAAATATTTGATTTGAAAAAATTTTGGCTTGTTCTTTTTTTTTTTTTTTGGTATCAAACTATTTTCAAAACTTCACTCTTTTTTTCCTATATAGCCATCTTCTTCAGTTGCCAACATAGATGAGTGGAGGTGGAAACTAAGCATGCTTTTACGTAATCCTGAAGAGCAAGAAATTGTTTCCAGAGATAAACGAGATCGCCGTGACTATGAACAAATCTCTAACCTTGCAAAAAGGATGGGGCTCTATAGGTAGCAGATCTGGTTGAGATTCATCATTCTCTTTCTTCAAAGTATTCAATGTTATGTAACTACAATTACCTCTACTTGCAGTGAATTATATGGGAAGATGGTTGTTGCCAGCAAAGTTCCTCTTCCTAATTATAGACCTGATCTTGATGACAAACGGCCACAAAGAGAGGCAATTTCCTCTTTCTACTGCAGTGGATGTGTGAAGCAATTTGAATTGTCCAAAATGATTAATATTTTGCTATTGCTTCACAGGTTGTGATTCCTCTCAGTTTACAAAGACGAGTTGAGGGTTTATTGCAGGAACACATTGATAGAATTGAACTAGCATCTTCTTGCAAATATAGTCAAATGTTGGAAGGAACATCTTCTACTGTAGATACCAAAGAAGCTGTTGATGAAAAACAAGATACTTTAGTTGATGACATACTTATGGAAAAGATTCTTCAGAGGAGGAGTTGGCGTATGCGTAACCTGCAACGGAGTTGGCAGGTTGATCCCCTTAATCATTCCACGTTTTACTGTTTTTGAGAAACCATTATCACCTTTTATCATTAATATAATTCCCATGAGATTGTAGAATAGTTGTAGTTTTATTTATTTATGGCCAGAACAATATGCTGTTGTTTTTTACATCCAAACCTTGTTGTAGTCTATAATTATATCAATAATCTTTGTTAAGTTAGGCTTACAAACCTATTTCTACTGCGTCTACGTTTGGCTATTCCGTTCTCTTTCGGCATGATAAACTTTTTTATATTTTCTTTGCAGATTTGAGTTTTCTATGCCATTGATTTATGATTTTAAATTAGAAACATGGAAATTTGACTTTTAAATTGACAGGAGTCTCCCGAGGGCATTAAAATGCTCAATTCCAGAAGATCTCTTCCTGCATACATGGAAAAGGAGAGTCTTTTGTCTGCGATTGCTCGGAATCAGGTTTTTACTTGGTGGTGAAGGATACTTCATGTTGGTTTATTTTTATTTAATGATCATGTAGAGTTATAATCATTTCTTTGAGATTCTTACGCCTTCTCTCTAAGTAGCCTTAGTTACTATTGACATTCTAGCTCTATGTTTCTAATACATGCTTGCCTTTTAAAATGGGTTTAGTTAGGTGGTTTCTAAAATAACTACTCATGTTTAATTATCATGTTTTCTTTCTCAATTCCTATTGATTTTTTCTACCCATAAAATGTCACAATTCCATCAAAAGTTCATGGCCCCTTCAGTAGATAAGCCTTTTTCACTAGAAGGCAAAAAGCTGTTGTACCAGGTTTTATTATAGAGAAGACGTTAGAAAACTCTTAGCCCTATGGGCTGGCACCACAGATTCCATATCAAATGTACTTGAACTACGTGATATTATAGTTGATGATAACATCACTGCACCTGATGCTATTTTAAAACTGCACGTGAATCCTAAACTTCATACGGTCAACAAATAAATATAAGTAAGGATGAGTTCAATATTATTGCTTTCCATGGCAAAGTTTGAGGATGCATTTTTTTTTCTGAAAAAAGTTTAGCATAAACTATTGAAGGCTGAAACCATTTATATGCATCCCAAATGAGGAGTTGTTTCTGCGTGTGTGTTTGTGTGGTCCATTGTCAAATAAACACTTCAACTCATTTCCTGAAGTTAAATCCAATCATTTGAGGCACTAAAATAAATTTGTCCTTATTGCTGGGAATGTGATGCAAATCATGGGTATGAACCATGGATGAGAATGATAAAATGAGGAGAAGTGAGGGCCAAAAAAGGGTAAAAGTTGAGGTGGAGATATAATCTGAGATGGGGAAGAAGAATCCTTCTTCCCTAGTTTGCCCCCACTATAGTTTTCTAAAGTCTTCACTTGCAGAGAATGGTTAAAATCTTCATCATGCAGAATTATAAAAAATAATTCTCATTTTCATGACCTCCCAAATGTAAAGCTCTTTTTGTTAAAAGAGGATGACTGCATAGAAACACTTGAACTCATAGTTCTTTAAGTTTTACTACTAAGTTTTATTTCTTTCCACTTGTAATGAAACAGCAATATGAACATTTAATTGATACAGATTTTAATTTGGTTTTTATGGACGTGTAAATTTTATGTAATTTTGGGCAGGTTACTATAATTTCTGGGGAGACAGGGTGTGGTAAAACAACACAACTTCCTCAGTATGTATTAGAATCTGAGATAGAATCTGGTCGAGGAGCATTTTGCAATATCATCTGTACCCAACCTCGTAGAATATCTGCTATGACTGTGGCAGAAAGGGTTTCTACTGAAAGGGGGGAGAATCTTGGTGAAACAGTAAGCCTCCATAACCTTGGAATCTAACTGTTATGTGACTTTTAAGAGAGATTGTTTCAGCACTTTTCTTCTTTCTTCCATACAACATTAGTTTCTGTGATAGGTTGGTTACAAAGTTCGATTAGAAGGTATGAAAGGAAAAAACACACATCTGCTTTTTTGTACCAGTGGCATTTTACTGAGAAGATTGTTGGTGGATCGCAATTTGAATGGTGTAACCCATGTTTTTGTTGATGAAATTCATGAAAGAGGCATGAATGAAGGTGCTTTGCTTGTTTGATCAGATTTATATTCGAGTACCTCTTTAATTGCATTACTATTTATCTTATACAATCTGCTCTCTAGTTGGTGCTTATACTTTGATTTCCTACAAGTGCAGATTTCTTGTTGATTGTGTTGAAAGATCTTCTTCCCCGTCGTCGTGATTTAAGGTTGATTTTAATGAGTGCTACATTGAATGCTGAAATGTTTTCAAATTACTTTGGTGGAGCTCCTACAATTCATATTCCAGTAAGCTTATATTTTTAAAGAAAAAATGTGTTTTTACTTCTGCTTTTACTTTTTTTTTGGGTATTCTGCTGTTATTGCTTAGGTCATTTTACATATCTGTTGAAATCAATTACCAACTTATGCAGTTTGATAATTTAGTTATTTTTTATTCAGTACTCCAACGTTGTTGCTAAGTTCCACTAGTAGCTTGCTTGATTTTTTTTTTTAAATTTGGACAGTGGTTTGATAGTATTGGAATTTTCTGAATATTGTCATTTCTCCTTCTTTGGAAATGGCTGAACAAGGATCTCGAAGGCCTTTTTTGTCTTTCTTGTATATCTGCCTTGGAGGGGAATTGAGTCTTTCAGGATTCATGTTATTACTCATCATTGGCTGTATCCCAACTATTTAAGGTCTTTTTTATGAATCCAAGTATTTTCAAGGTGCTAAGCACAATATGATGCACAAGGATTATTTTTTACTTCAATGCGCAAAGTAATACAACATTTTTACTTACTATGGTGTTCATGAATTGTATATTGGGAGTTTACCAGAGTCAAGATGACTCGTGAGCTGGCTCAGTTTCGACTCGAGCTGAGCTTGATGAGCTAACAAGCTAAGCTTGGGCCAGCTTCTGCTTGACTTGTCAACTCGTGAGCCGGCTCCTTTAAAAAATATTAATGAATATTTAAAATATATTATAATTAAATAATTTTAGGATAACATTATTAAATATTCAAGAACTATATTTCTCTTTCATATTTTAATTGATTTTTTATTATTTCACATTTATTTTTATTTTTTATCATTTATTATAATAATTGCTTGAAAAAAATTATCTTCTCTCTTACATAATAAATGATCCAGCTTGTAAGCCGAAACAAACTCCTTGAATTAAACTTGAGCTTGAACTCAATTGATGAATTATGATCAAGCTCAAATTAGAGATGACTCAAGCTCAGCTCAACTCGTTTACACCCTTATTGCATATCATACATAAAGATATTTTGTGCATAGAGTAGTTATTTATGTAATTAATCTAAACCACATCAGATAATACTTTTCAAACAAATATAATAATATGTTCGATAATAATAATTTCCAGCTATTTGAAAGAAAAAAAAAAAATTGATGTAATCATATACTTAGAAATCAGTAGTATACTTGTGAGATTATGTGACTGATTTGAGATCGAGAGGCAAAGGCAGCATGAAGCAAGAGAAAATGTGAAGATGTGGCATGAGAAGCATTCTCTAGAAGAAGCTACTAGTCCCAACAATATAGTGAAAAATGCACAAGAAATATTCAGGAAGTGAGAGCGAAGAGAATCATATGGAAGCAACTAGCACCAATAGGAGATACCAAAGAATCAATGAGAAAATACTTAAATAACTATGAGAAATAGTGATGAAAAGCACACAATCTTGCCTAATTATTTTGGTGGATGTGGAACAAAAACTTCAAATATGAACCCGGATGTTGCTTGAGTGGGAGCTGATCACACAGCTATACTACGTGACTGGCAAAGCTGTGTGAGAAGCATGCTTTGTTGAGAGCTTGTGTTTCACATGCAAGAGGTGCGCAAGGTTAAAACATCGCTTCGCTCAGTTCCTAAAGTGTGCTTTGAAGTGCTCTTTTAACAAATTGATGAATCTTAACTCTCGATTGTTTTCTGTTTGATTGCTATTTGATGATGTTATACACACACACACATATATATATATATATATATATATTACAATTTCCTTAAAAAATTACAATGTTTTTCTGGGATATTTAAAGCCCTTATCTTCTCTAGAATTTGACGCGTCTTGCTTCCTTAATCATAGCCCATCCAAAAGCAATTAAGAGATAGTGTTGAACTAGATTGATTTATCATCATTGGTAGTGTTTGAAACTCATCTATTGCTGTTCCAGAGAGTTGAGAGAAGGAAAATATCATGAATGGCTTTTGCAGTACTCTTGATATGAAGATCTCACCTGGAAGAAATGAAGAGTTCGAAGGTAAGGTATAATTAAAATGCCACTATGAGATAGAAGTCTACTCCAAACATTAGATGAGAAGCTACATTTAAAAAAAACCAATTGTGAATCATCCTCTAGAATGGAATTTCTCATGAAACAAGTTAACATGTTGAAGGTTTACTTGAATTTTTTTTTTCCAAATAAATAGTCTATCTAATAAAATTATTTTCAAGGGAACCAATGTCTTTCAGATCTAATTTTAAGAGAATCTAATTCTAGCTACATGCATTAAGAAAAATAGAAAGAGTTGACCAAAAAAGGCCTTTAGGAGAGAGCTCCACATCAGTGAAGCAAAGTATGAGTTCTAGCTTAATCTGCTTAACTTGTAGTTAAGATTGACAGTATCATTGTATAGATGAAAATGAGTGGTTCCTTTCTAATGAACATGCTAATATTAAGAAAAAAATTGAGCTTTACTAAGCAATTTGGATTATATTCTAACTTGAAGAGATGAGGATAAATCTTTGCTAAGGACAAATTGCAAATCTAAACATCTTTTAAAAAATTGACTCTTTCACCATTGATAGTGTCCCAAGAGGGTTGGTTGGAAGAAAGGCGTAGGAGCTTTCCCAACTCTTTTAATAAATTGAGAATCACGAGTGCCTTTGCTCAGTAAAGTGTCTTTTAAATACCTATTATTAACATGAATTAATTTCTAGATCCAGTTAGAGAGGAGAAATATTCATGGTACAGAGATTTTCTACACCAAGCCCTCCATTTATTTTTAATCTTCATTTTTTTTTCTAGTTGACCAAGAAGAAACTTTTGCCTTCCTCTATTACTTTCTACAAGAAACTTTTTGATGATAGCATTTTTATCAATGACCCATTTTAGCACTCAAAAGAAGGAAAGCAAATAAAGAGGGATATAAATTAAAATATAATTTATCAGAACAATTATCTAGCCTTTAGAAAAGAATTTACCTTTCTAGGATGCAAATTTTCCTGGAGTTTTTCAATAATACGATTCCACAGGTCTTTTTACAACTATTTAGTGCCAAAAGGAAGGTTCAAATATTTGAAAGGAAGCCTTTCAAGAGAACATTCTAAAATATTAGTGATAGAAATACTTTATTTTGACACCCACCAATGTAGATCAAAGAAAATTTAAATAAAGTTTATTTGAGACTTGAAACTTCTTGAAAAGGAGTAGAATGTTTTTGAGAAGCAAAACTTGATAATGGGATACACAACAAAATAAGATAGTGATGAGGACATCGACAGACGCTACCGACATGTTTATCGCTGGCGAAACCGCAGATCGACGGCCACGATTCAGCGCCTCTACTTCTGATTTAGATGTCATGATGTATTTTATTATTATTGTCTTTTTATTTACTGTTTTCCCATTTTACCCCTGTGGGGAGTTATGTCTTATTGTAGTCCAAGGGGCATTTGAGTACTTTTATTTCCTTATGTTTGAAGACCTATTTATAGGGGTCTCATGCTTTGTAATAGGCTAATGAATATTTGAATAAAATTTGATGTTATCTTCTTCTTCTTCTTGCATGAGAGCTAGAGAAGGGTGAGAGAGCTCAAGGGGAGCAAATCGCAAGGCCCACCAGTCGTTGGAAGAGTCCTCGACTCGTGGTTTTCTTCTCTTATTTTATTTGTTTTCCTCATCTCCACACCCTCCCTCACCCACCCGACGGCATCCATAGCACCACCATCATCCAAGATTCAACATCGCTTGTGGTTCAAAGCCTTCTTCCCAAACGCCCAAACCAGCCCCCTACTTCACCCACCCGTCCACAACACCCCCACCCGTCCAGCTTGCCCCTTACCGCCGCCCACCCACTCCACCGTCCATTCATCTTGCTGTTGATCCACATCATCACAAAATTTCCCCAATGAGGTTGAGCATGACATGAAGATTTTGGCTCCATTTGAAATTCAAATCTTACCAAAATTGGAAAATCCAATTAAGGAAAGTTTTATTCATGATCCCAATTTGAAATTCTAATAAATTGGATCTCATGAAAACTTTCCTAATCCATCCTCCCACTTTGGAAACTCCCTAAATCCCTCCCCAAATCCCTCCCCAACCTCTCTATGCCGCCGGCCATCATGGAGAAGCCCCAATAATTACTCTTTAATTCCCCCCATCAATTCCTTTGAAATTTGAAACTAATTTCAAATGGGATTTCCCTCCCAACATCATTAATTCTGAAATTTATTTTAGATTTAATTAGGGAATTAACTAGGATTGCAATTTGAAACCCTAGCCTCTCCTTGTGGAACCCGCCGCCCCCTTCCCCTGGAGATCCCGCCGGCCTCTCATCCCCATCCTCCCTTCTTTTGGGCGCAAGGCTCCTCCTTCATCATCACTCCAAGTTCGTTCTTTTGAAAGATTGGCCAACATCAAGCATGAATGGCGGACCCGGAGTTTGAGTGGGGTCTTGTATTCAACGCCGACGGGAGCATCAACATTCTACGATCACCTTGTTTCGACGTAGGATTTGAAGACGAGACCACCGTGGAAGAGTACTTGGAGAGAGTCGTCCCGATCCTTGCAAGCATCTACGACCGTCAATTTTCGAAGCACACGTGGAGCCTTGACGGTCACCTACGAGATCCATCCCCGCCGGCTACTTTTCCTCCGACGAAGTTCTACTGCGCCCTTTCTCTAGTGGTAACTTCCTTCATTGCTTGGATCTTCTATCTCCGCCAAAAGTCCACCAATCTTTGAGTGATACGGCCCCAAGGTGAAATTCTCGTTGTTAAACGTTGGGTTTTGTTACTTGTACTTCGCATTTAATTCCCTTGGATTTTGAATGAACTATTTTGGTTAATCTCAAGTGCATCTCTTTGGCCTAATCAAGTTAATATTTTCAAATCCCTAATTCAAATTTTATGTGCTAGCTTTAAATTCGTAAGGAGCAACACTTTAATCGTTTCTTTTAAATTTTTAAATAACTCCTCGTAGTTTCACATCAGATAGTTTCATTTGCAAATTGAATACTATCAAGATAGTTTCATTTGCAAATTGAATACTATCAATTACAATGCTGGTTTTGCCACACTTGTTATCCTCTATCCAACCATCATTGGTTGCAACTATAAGCATTATACGAAGGACATCCCCAATAATAATGAAAAGAAGAGGAAAGCAACAGAGTGGTTTGCCTTGCCTCAAACCTTAGAAACCTTTGAAGGTTTTAAATCTATTTGATATTTTTGCACATTCATATTACATTTGGTCTTTATTCTTTTTTTTTTTGGTTCTTTCCATGTTAATTTTTTCTGTACGACTTCTAAAACGAAATCTATTTTTCAGCACATTTTTTCAATAAGTGCTAATGTTACAATTACCCTTATGCAATTGCTTCTTAATATATTCTTCCTGATTTTTCCAGACAAATATCTTAGCATTTTAAAGTATTTGCTACAATAACTTTATTATCAATGGCTTTTTATATTGTGACGCTTAGATCCATATAGCATTGTTTTGAGTATATCATAGTCAATCTAGTTGTAATCTATAACATTTGTTTGCAAGTCTCTATGATTTCTTCTTATAAAATTTGGTAATATTACAAAATACTTAATTCTTTATCATGACATTGTCAAACTATTAATTCTTCTGTTATAATTAGTACGTACTATTCACTAAACTGGCAGTCAACTTTGTTAGGTTTAACACTTTGCAAGTGCTCAAGATTCACACTATAGAGCTAGGTGCATTGTGGCTTTTATTCCATGCAGAATCTTATTATAAAATTGTAGCTTAATAAGTAGCTACAATTGGTTTATACGATTTTAAGCTACATGTGCGGTTTTTTCTCGTTTAATTTAGGGTTTTACATATCCGGTTAGAGCACTCTTTCTTGAAGACATTTTGGAAAAAACTGGATATAAGCTAACTTCATTCAATCAAGTTGATGACTATGGCCAAGATAAGTTATGGAAAACACAAAGACAGCTGCTTCCTAGGAAGAGAAAGAATCAGATCACCACGCTAGTTGAGGTATGACTCCTCTTACAGAAACATGTGATACTAGCGTATTTCTTCTCTTAGAATTTTAAACGTGCTGTGATTATGTTTCTTTTACTGCACAGGACGTTCTTAAGAATTCAAACTATGAAACATACAGTGCGAGGGCACGAGATTCCTTGGCCAGCTGGACTCCTGATTGCATTGGGTTTAATCTCATCGAGGCTGTGTTATGTCATATATGTCGGAAGGAGGGACCAGGTGCTGTTTTAGTTTTCATGACAGGCTGGGATGATATCAGTTGCTTGAGGGACCAACTTAAGGCCCACCCTCTGTTAGGAGATCCAAACAGGATTTTGGTTCTCACTTGTCATGGGTCAATGGCCACATCTGAGCAAGTAATTTCTCAATCAATTTCTCCTAGTATTTGTCCTCAAATTTTGTCGGTTGGGGAGGATAAACTCTTATCTACAAAAACTTATGTTGCATGGCTCTGTGAAATTTTTTCTCTTATTCTCTGCATTTAGTCGCTTTAATTTTATTTCTTCGGTTTTACTCGTGTATTGATTTTATGTATCACAACAAAACCCAAACAATACATGCATATTTAAATTTCTTCTTGAGTGTATTAAGAATTTTCACTGGAATATTACTTTGATTTATAATGGTTGAATTAAGCTTAACCATATTGGAGTAGCTTCAAAGTTTGGGCTGTATATCTTCGTGTGCAAGTCCTTTATTTCTATGATGTTCAAAATCCGAATAAAATTAGTTTTAAATCTTGTGTGGTTGGTAATTATAGGTTGGGGGTGGAGGATCAATCTGAGAAGTGCGAATAAGAATCTGAATGAAACAGGAAATTAACATCAGCATCTTCCATTGATGTTGTCTATGGAGCAGTAGTCAACATCACAGTTTGAGTGTGCAATATAGGGATATCTATCAAGGAATATTACTTAGATTTCTAATGGTTGAATTAAGCTTAGCCATTTTGGAGTAGCTTCAAAGTTTGGCCTGTTTTTCTAGGTATGCAAGTCCTTTATTTCTATGATGTTCAAAATCTGGATAAAATTAGTTTGAAATCTTTTGTGGTTGGTAATTATAGGTTGGGGGTGGAGGATCAATCTGATAAGTGCGAATAAGAATATGAATGAAACATGAAATTAACATCAACTTCTTCCATTGATGTTTTCTATGGAGTAACAACATCAAGTTTGAGTATGCCATATAGGTATATCTATCAAGTTTATTGTTTGTGAATTAATGCTAAGGGTAAATCCAAGCGATAAACAACACTAGGATTTTCACGTGGATAAAAATCCTAGGACCAAGCGCTAGATAGATATAATAATGATTGTTTGATAAGATATATCCTTAGGATATAGCAAGATGAAGTCATTGAGGATTTGGCCTTGTTGATTATTTCCCAATACATAAACACCAATGTAGCATGAAAATTGACCATCATGGATAATGCCATGATGATGATTATAATGATCTATCAAAAGTTATTAAGGTCAAAGCCTCTACTTTCATCTAAAATTTGATTTATGTATCTTTGATCAGCTTTTGAAAATTGACGACTGTTGGAATAGCATTGCATGATGATTATTAGTGATTCAAATATACTATTCTTAATTCACAGATTCTACCAATAAAATTGCAAATTTGATGATCTAGATGATATGCTCACAACTGTGTGGATAAAGATAAAACATTTACTCTAACAATAACACATGCATATCTATCTTAAGAGTCCCTAATCATGTAACTTTTGAACCTTAAGCAAGGTAGTTAGATTGTGTGTGCAACATAGATGATCAATGACTTCATATTTGTTTTTGGTCTCCATTAAGATTGGAGAAATTCGAGATATCTAATCTATTTAGAGCCAACTCTTCCACTTATAAGGAGGCGAGGCAAAACCCTTTAACCAAGCAAGGATGAAGTGCTCATTGCCTTATCTTCAATATTGATAAAGACAAGTGGGTGGCAACTACTCCTTTATAGCTCAAAATTGCTCCCTATGGTTCAAAACTACAAAAAAAAATTCCTTATAAAAACAACAACAACAACAATAAGCCTTTATCCCACTATGTGGGGTCGGTTACATGAATCCTTTTTCTCTATTGTGTCCTGTTAAGAGTCAAATTCTCATCTAAATCTAATAAAGAAAGGCCATTTATAATATTCTCTAACCAAGTCTTATTAGGTCTATGTCTACCTTTCTTAACATAAGTCAAATATAATACATCTACTTTTTTAATCGTAATCGGGTCATCGGAAGGCTGCCGTTTTAACATAAGTCAAATTTAATACATCTACTTTTCTAATCGGGTCATCGGAAGGCCGCCGTTTTATGTGACCAAACCATCTAAGGCGACTCTCTCTAATCTTATCTTCCACTGGATCTACTCCAACCTTTTCATGTATATGCTCATTTTGTATCCTATCTCTAAGAGTAAAGCCACTCATCCACCCGATCATCCTTTTCTCAGCAACACTTAACTCAGTATTATGCTTCACTTTTAATGGCTATCATTCGGCACCATAAAGCATTGCAAGTCTCACCACCATCTTATATAATTTTCTCTTAAGTTTGAGGGGGACTTTTCTATCACACAACATGCCCGATGCATTCCTCCACTTTGAACAATAGATCCAATATATCTAAAACGTGTACTCTTATTAATGACTTGATCGCCCAAAGTCAGAATCTCCTCACTAGGTCTATTACTACTAAAATTACACTCCATATATTCAATTTTAGATCTACTCAAGCGAAAACCTTTAGACTCTAAGTTTGACCTGCATAATTCAAGTTTACCTTCAACTCCCTCTCTAGTATTATCAACAAGAAGAATATCATCAGCAAAAAGCATAAACCAAGGTGGTTTGACCAAGTATTTTTCTATTTTGATTGGATTACATCAAGGATCAGCCTTAAGGTCATATATTTTTGCTTTAGTCATGGATGTTCTCACTAGACATTTGCAAGAGGAAAAAAAAAGGCTTCTCTGTTGACCGTAATAGTAACAAACTATTTGAGCACATTATAATAAGATGAACTGTATGAGAAGCTATCATAATAGAAAATTTATTATAGAGCCTCATAACTATTTAAAATTTATAAGATGAACTGTAGTCATAATTTTGTTTAATTGAGAGTTCTATGAACAGGAGAAATAATTAAGTATGGCGGTTTGTTTATTTTAGAAACCTCTATGAGGGATGATTCTCAAACAAAAATTCAATAAATTGTTCCTCTCCTCTCCTGGAATACATCATCACCTTTGCTCATGCAGTAGGATTTATGATAGAGACTTGTTCTGAAAGTGCAGAAATCCTATTGCAAAAGCAATGTTGACGATGAATCACCCTTTTGTCTTAAAAGCCTATTTATGACAAAGAAAAATACTTTTAAACAAATAAAAACAATAAAAAATTAAATAGGAATACAAAGAATATAAGGAAGCTTCTAGCTATCTTCATTTGGTAATGCTATGTGGATGCTTTGCTCTATTGTTTGGCATGGGACAAATTTTTACTGCTCTTACAAGGCTGAACAAGCTGTATTTTAAATGTTTTTCACTTGAGATTGAATTCATAGGGAAGGTCAATGTAATATTATATATAGTTCTTTTTGTTTTACATTTTTTCTTACAAATCCAAATTGTGGGCATTTTTTTAAAAATTGAAGCAGTTAAAAAGGATTATCATTTGTGGTCAAACAATTTATGCCACGTGAATTTTTTGCTTCATCTTGAAATTTTAATTTATTTTTTAAATCCTTTATTGAAAATTAACTACTTCTCAGTTTTCACTTTTTAAGTTCCATTATCTTCTACATTTAATTATTATTATTATTATCAATTATTTCTTTTATTGCTGATATATTACCTATAGTTACTTCATATTGCACGGTAAAATTTTCTTATGGAATCATTGTGGAATCTTATTAAAAAGTTTTTTCTTGCCTTTTAATTAAATAACTCGAACTATGCTTGAAGAACTCCACTTTGAAAATTAATAATTGATCTCTCGTTTTTTAAGTACCTGTCATTATTGTAAATTCATGCTAATGTAAAATCAAGTTTAACTTTTCACATCTTAGTTTAGGAGCTGTTTAGTTACCTGAGAAAGGAATAAAGTGTAAAAGGAATGCGATGTAAAATGAATACTTTGGAGTTATTTGTATGAGTGTAAAAGGAATGCATAACTTTACTTTTTTTATTTGGTTTAAAGTAAAATGAATGCAATGTAAAGTGTAAAAAAGTTGTGCCCATGGTGGTCGGCGTTGGAGGGCGACGGTGGTGGTCAATGGTCAGCGGTGTCTGATGGTTGGTGGCTGGTGGTGTCCGGTGGCTGGCAGTGTCCAGTGGTTAGCGGACGGCGGTGGTTGTTGTTGGTGGGCAGCAGTAGTGGGCGACCGACGGTGGCGACGTGGTGGCGGTTGGCCGGCAGTCGACTGTGCACTATGGTGGTGGCGGCTGGCAACAGGGTGGCGGCGGAGACAATGATTATTAGCGGTGGTCATGCAAGCTTTTGAGCGGTGTAAACAATTATTGTTTAAAACTAAGCAAGAACGGTTTACCTCAAAAATGACTAGAATGGAATACAATGCATTCTTTTTATTTTTCCTTATATTTGTTTTTCATCCAACCAAACATCAAACTTTTCAAAACCCTTATATTTACTTTACTTTACACTCATTTTACTTCCAACCAAATAATCCCCTTATCCATTCCTATTGATAACATTCCAGCACACAATAGCTTATAATTCTACTCTAATCTTTAGCATCAGTGGATTTCTCACTTTAGATCTAGTTTCTTGAAAACATATTATTTATCGTTCTTTTAATTGTTATATCAGTTTATTCTGTAGCCTTTCCTTCCGAAATTGTCAAATTCATTGTAATAAAATTTTATCTCAATTATAGATTTAGCCAAACCTAGTCCCTTTTGTCAATCACTTGTAGGTGATGCATAGCTAACCCTTGTTTACTTCTCAACATGAATAGCTATCCCTTGCTTACTTCTCAACATGAATGACTGAAGTTGTGGGGCATCACTTATACTGTTATACATGATTCCCTGGTCGGTGCTTGTCCACTTATCACTAGAATCAAGTTAGGTCTTGGCGAGCTGCTATCGAGGGATGCCCTAACATTAGCAAACATTGGTTTGGATTCATGAATTATGTATATGTTTTCCGGTTTTGTTATTAACCTAGTATCATCCCAATTTTTCTCTTTACTTTCTTCCTTTCAATAGTGTTGACCTGCATGTTAAATCCAAAGGAAAAAAAAAAGAAAGAAGCTCAAAATTATACCTTGACTGACGAATCCACAAAATTCTGCTGCAAATCCCCAAAATCCTGCTCAATACCTCGGATGCATCGATGCTAATACGCGAATCCCGCCAGAAATCCCGGAAACCTCGTATCACTGCCGGAGCTGTCAAAATCCCGTGAAATCCTGCTCAAAATCGGTGATCTCGCCTCGATCGAGCGCTCAAGACTTCGTTAAATACCGACCCAAGGCTGCTCTTCCGCTCTCGCTCTCCCCCGATACCTCTGCTCTTTCGACGCTCTTTGCTTCCGCACGATCGAGCTCTCCAACTCCACTACGCTCCCTCACGCTCGATCTCCTCTCCAGCGACTGAGCTCCCTGTTCCGTTCCCCTTGCTCTGTCCGGTCCAGCCCGACGTCCACAGAGAGAGAGAGAGAGAGAGAGAGAGAGAGAGAGAGAGCTTCTTACCTCAATCCCGAGCTCCTCCATCCAGTCCGAAGCCGAGCTCCCCGA